GGTCTCCAGCAATCAGCTGCCGCGAAGCGACATGGCGTACTACCACCAAGTCCCTGGCCAGGGATACTCGCAGGGCTTCAGGAACCAGCATGGGTTCAACTACCAGTATGCCGGCGGTGGTGGCTACGGGGGCCACCCGCACACCTTCAACAGTGTGGGTGTGCAGGGCGGCACGTATGGGCGGCACAACCTCCAGTAGGCGTGATGGCCATGGTACACAACAGACTGGGGCGCCTGGTGGCAGCCCCAGGCAGTAGGAAGGGCTGCGTTCGGGACCCTGTGTAGCTGGGATCGATGGCACTCTTCCGAAACAAACAGTGAGTGAAGCGTGGAGATTTGCGGCCTTGCTGGCTGCCCTCCAGGGAAGACCCATGGATTGGGTTTTTGGATGTTTTATTTCGGCTTTGTACGGTGTTTTGTAACAAAAAGTTACAAGGTTTGCGAAGGTTTGCCGATCGGCGCCCCATGCAATGCTGCGCTGCGCCAGACCGCGCCACACCAGCCAGCCACGTGCCTGGGCGCGCGTTCACCCTCCTGTGCTGTGCCGTCCCCTGTGCGAGTGCCAGGAACGCGCCCGGGAACAGTTCGGGATGCAGCCCGCCAAAAAAAAGAAATGTAATTGGAGGTCAAATGCAAGTGATGGGCGCTGGTTGGACGAGTTGACTCAACTCGTCTCAAGATAACCCGTCCAACGCAGAGACGGAGTCAACGTTGCAGTTGACTTCATCATAGGGTAGCTCAACGAACGCAGAGGCTTTGAACACGAGTGGTATTCGTAACAGGTAAGTTTGTGATCAGTTCGTTGAAATGGACAACTCCTGTAACGAGTGATCAGTGCTGAGCTTGGCCACGGGTCGGTCGTGTACACTTACTTGACCGGTCCCCTTGTCTACGCCCAGGTTACAAGGATCTACCGGTCGCCCTTGGATCCGGCAGTCAGAACTGTCCCCGGGTACAGGGTGGCAGAAAACCGGCATTGTATGGCCCTGAAACGGTCAAGTACAGCAGCCCCGACCTAGAACGGCAGGGGCGCTCCCACCCAACGTCGTCCTTGGCAGAAACTCATTAACATGGTAGTTAACTAGAACCTCAAAGCACGGTGAAAGTTCATGCAGCATGGAAGGGATGGGCGTTCAGTGCTTCGTTGTGATTGCGAACACACTTCGTTTGATGTATTACCATCGATTATCGCTTCTAGGCATCGAGAGTCCATAGAATCATAGCTTTGGTTTGCATTTCTCAATAGATTTCAATGAACCAATCACCGACTCTGCTTTGCTCAGGCAAAATAGGAAGCTGACGGCTACCTCATTGCCTTGTTCTGTAAATAATGATGGTGATTCGCAAGCGACAAATGCGAGGAATTTGAGGCTGATGTCGGCAACCGTGTCCCAGTGGATTTGGATCTTCGAAAGAAATGCAAACTGCAACAGCCCGCTCACTGTCTGGCTTCACAAGCTGGGTTGGTGGGGCAGGGGACATAGTTGGCCTTCGCCATTTTAGCGGACCGTCCTTTGCAATAATTTAGTTCCACAGCCCTGGTCGCATTTTTGATTGTTCCCGACAACTGACGGCCTTTGCGTCGTGTCGCCTGTTGCCTTTGCTACCTTGCCTATTTCTGAAAGACTGTGGCAAACGTCGCTGCAGAGGCGCTGACAGAAACTGGACGCGGTTCACAGCAGCTCGATTGTCGCGGGTCAGTTCGCCAGCCACTACCGGCAGAACATGTGCCGGCAGTGACTAGGACCTACAATTGGAATCCTAGGGCGACATTCATCCATTGAAGGGCGACATTCATCCATTGAAGGGCTGCATTCATCCTTTAAAGGCAGAGTTAATTCGATGCCCCGCCACACTGTGACGGGCGCGTGTGAGACCAAAGGGTCAGACCGAAAAAGCACGCAACAAGCACGGGTGGGTGCTGGGCTCCATGGGGACGATGACAGAACGTCCTCAAACGTCCCCATTCGCTTCGCAGTACTTTGCGCCACTCGAATACGTGACTCAGGGGCCTCGGGTTTCGAAGCGCAGTGGTGATGGACACCTTTCATGTGAGATTCTTTCAGTTCCCATGCTGGCAAGGGCGCCTCCCATTTCTATTTAGGGGAAAGAAACCGCTGATGCAGGTTCTGTTTGATGAGGCGGGAACAACGAAAGTGCAGAACGCTGGACCGAAGGCCCAACTTCTGGACTGTTTTAAGAAGTGCTTGGACGCTGGCGGTCCCTGACGTTGGACTCGACCCGCTGTCTCGTGCTGATCGCCTCTTCAGTGGCCCACTTGACGCCCTTTGCACAGGTATGCTCAGCCTCGTCCACACGCACATTACCTTTTATTGCTGGCTCCCGTTCCACACGATGCCCGCGGTGCGCGGCTGGACGCCTTAGTGGCGGCGACACCTGGCAGCAATGGCTGGCCATTTGACAACAAACGAAATGTGCTGTAACAATTGTCAACCTCTCCCGAGCGAGGAATTTGGGACACGCTATACGTCGAAAGCAGACCAATGTCCGCAACCTCTTCTGGCACTGGCGCCAGTGGACAGCCCCTGGGGAGCACTCAATCAGCAGCTCACCAGTTGCATTTTCCGGAAAGCGGCAAAAGTGTGGTATGTTCAACGCAATCCATTCACAGACTGTCAGGGCAAGGGCAATGACGGCGCAACATGTACGGGTGAGCCAGCCGCCGTTGCCCTTGCCCTGACGTGCGCTCTCACTTCCCGTCATGCGATGGAGTGCTGTGCCATTGTGGCCATTTAGTCGTTTGATCTTCTCAGCGTGGACTCTGAATGGCCTTCTTTCGGTGCAGCATCACTGCGGTAATGTGTCGCCCATGGATTGCACTGGAACTCTGTTTGGGATGCGCCGCACCAGCCTGCCCATGTTGAAGGCTGCCCTCTACGCTCATCTACCCTGTGAGGTGGGAGTGTGTGACACTGATCTTTGAGCACACTGACCTGTTTCCTGTTGTCCCTGCTGTCTTCCTAGTAGTTTGTGCAACCTGCACCCCCCACACGAGCAACAGAAATGATGGGGCCTTTGGCAGAGGGATTAATACATTCTTGCAGTAAATTTAACTCTCTGACAGGGAGAAACAAGCATTTCTCCAAATGTGCAACCCCCCATTCCAAGCCAGAAGATAGTGACAATGCATCGCACATTGTAAAGGACAAGGAAAACCGTTTTTTTGCTCCCTGTCTTTCCCCATGCATTTTGCCAGAACACGTATTCAAACATGGTTGTGCTTGATAGGTGTTGAGTCCCCCCAGATTCAAGCTCCTTGCAACCGCTTCTTCCTCAGAGCAACCTGAGGCCCCAAACATTAGTGTCAAGTTCAGCATGCCCTGCACAAGCAATGGTGTTTGTCACCACCTTGATTTTATACCCCAACTGGTGCTGTGACTCAGCGATAGATTTGCCAATCACATTTCTGCAGCTTTGCAACTGTTGTACATGGCGATTCCTGGCCATATGATGCAGCCAGGTGCGATGAACACCTTGTGCCATAGCCATGGCCATCTATGGGGGGCATCATAGTGTCAGTAAGTTTGATTGGCGTGCCATCGGAGTCAAGGCAACTACTCACTGCATTAGATCATGACTGGCTCCATGATTGAATATGGACAGTCGCCCTTGGTTTGTCCCACGGCAAGTGCTCAACCATGCTTCTGAAATGTTTGCAGTATCTACGCACCTGACATATACCACATCATGCACCGAGTTGCATATCATGTGACACATCACATGCAATGCAACAGTTGCATGACCTTCCCAGCTTATACTTGGACAGCCATGGGCACATGCACAGGTTGTGTTGCATGTTGCTCTGCCACTGTTCACAAGACCTACTTCTTCCTATTCCATTCTTCCAGCGCATCATTGGATAGCAAACAACGAACCAAGTTCCAAAAAATTGTCGGAAGTTTTATGCGGATACTTAGTTTGGTGTGGATTTCTTGACAAATGCATGTACTATATTTGGCAGATATGTAGTTTGTTGTCCAGTATGCTGAGGATTGCCATGTACCGAAGTGTGTCACTGTGTGTGGTGTCCATTGAGGCAAGGTGTCACTTTGCAGAATTATGTAGTGTTGTGTTGGCCTCTGTCGCATCGTGGGGGAGGTATGCAGGGCTTGTTATGAGCTGCTTGAATGGCTAGCTGCCACCAATTGGCATTACCCAGAGGATGCAACAACCGCTGTGTAGGGCTTTGGGGATTGTTGTTGGATTGATGCTCAATCTCTTGAGCTTGTAGCTGTACTCGTGTGTATGGTTATTCATGGGAAGAAGATCAGGATCATGTCTGTCAATGTTGGCATAAGGACAACAACCACAAAATTCTTTCTGGGTGAGGAATACAAGGTGAGGCTCATCACACTAATGTGCAGCCCTTCATACTTTGGCCACGATGAAATCCTCCAGCAGTTATGTAGCACACTCGGCGGGAAATGTCTCTGTGCTTCTGCCTGTGCTTTGGCTGCTGCAGAAGACAAAGCTGGGTTGTCTGGCTTTCATTTGTATGGAATCACACCAAGCTGTATTGGCTATTGCCGCAGCCAGGAATGGATGACCTTATTAGCTGGATAGTGCATGCCTGTCACATTGCATTCCTTACCAAACTGGCAGGCCACGTGTGCAGTTATGGTGGATTGGCTGACTTCCTATTCCAGCTGCAAAATTCTGTACAAAGAAGGAATGATAAAGCCGTCGCTCACCTTGGCGTGCTGGACGTGTGGTCCATGCAGGTTCTGTCCACCTATGGGCACATCCGTGACATCCCCTCGAAGCCAGGCAGTGTGGACCCAACTGCTGGCTTTGAGATGTCCTGGGAGCTCCTCCCTCAGGCAAAGGGACATGTTGCAGCAATCGTGAGAGCCGTCGAGGAGGCACAGTACCTAGTGCTTGCGACCGATCCTGACAGGGAGGGGGAAGCCATATCGTGGCATGTGGTGAAGGAGCTGCAGGTGAAGATTGTTTGCTAGCAAAAGCACAGCCCAGTCAAAAACGATGGGCAGCCCCCTCCTGAGTGAGATTTTTTGTGAGACACTTTTTCTGTTTAAAGTGGTGGCGCCAATTACAAGTGGGTTGTGGAACTATTTGTGCAAGAAGGGATTCCAGAAAGTTAAAAAACAGATCCTGGCCAAGTTGTATCTGTAGTGCAGGGGTTTTGTTTAGTGTTGGGAGTCGAAAATGCGAAATGCAAGCTGACTTTTGTGTTCCTCCTTCCAAAAATATGGGAGTAATTTTCCATTTCCTCTTTGCTCCCTTCACACTTTAGGGGACTTTGTGGAAAGAAAGTATGTGACAATGCTGTGCAGTGTTCACTTCTGAACTACTGTGTATCGTCTCAGCCTGGTACTTGGCTTGGTCCGTGGATGACTGCTGCAGACAATTGTTGAATCCCGTTTGCATGCATTGGTGAATATAACAAATTGCAATGTATGCACAAATAGGCAGTGCCAGTCGTATCCTGTATTTATTCATGTTGTTTCAGAGTGTCGCATTTCCATCTTGCCGCCAAACAGTCCTGGGAACTGTTAATTGGGAAAATGTGAGTAGTGCTTATTTATCTTGAGGAGAAAATAGGTGGAGAATTGGTAGTGTGCCAGTCACATGTCCCATTTTTTCATGAGTGTTTCTGGATCTTGGAGTCACACTCTCATGATTGCTTGGTGGGTATTGACAGTATCCAGGATCGATTGGTAGATGGTTTCTGTGGAACATCTGTTCCCGCTCTGGGGCCTGGTGGAAGGCTTGACACCATTTGGGATTGTTTCTGTGCAGCGCAGGAAGTTGCGGGCAGCGCAGTTGCATGTTGAACGAATTACCTTTACAGAGGTGACACGGACGGCCATTCTGGATGCTCTGAAGAGCCCACGGCAGGTCGGTACATGTCTTTTTGTGCCTGGACAAAAAAGGTCATTTGAAAAACCTGCCAACAGAACGCATCCAAGACTTGCTCTTCTGATGTTGGAACCAGTGTTGTGGTTGGAATGGGTCACACATCGTGCATTTGAATCGACATCAGGTTAATTGGCCAGCTTTTGCTGGACAGGACAAGTTCAGGACAAGTTCAGTCAACAAAGGAACAGTGAAACGGTTTTTATTTCCAGTTTGCCACAGCCTCTGTGAGGTGGCATTATTTCCAGCAGAGTATTGCCTTGCACAACAGCAGCACCTGCTGTATGTCAGATTGTAATGATGTTTGATGTTGGCAGTATGATGCCTCCCAAGTCAGCAGCCCTGCAATGTCCATAGAATGGAATTCCCGCCGCAGAATGGGCAGCTCGTGATCTGCCCTTGTATGCAGTGCACAGTGAGGGGGCTCATGGAACTGTGCCATGTACAGATAAGTCCTTGGTTGGTTCATGCATACCTGGCCCGGCGTGTCCTTGACTACCTAGTGGGCTTCACATTGTCACCATTACTCTGGAGAAAGCTTCCTGGTGCCAGGTCAGCAGGTAAGTTGCTGTGGATGGCAAAATATGTGCCAGAGTAGGCCCAGGCCCTACCCGTGCACTTGCTTGGCAATGCTGTGCAACATTCCATGCTATTTGTTGTGCAGGTCGAGTACAGTCTGTTGCGCTCCGGCTGGTTTGTGAACGCGAGGCAGACATCCGCAGCTTCCAGCCTGTTGAGTTCTGGACAGCAGAGGTGCAGCTGATGACACGTAGCGGGCTACCCCTTCGTGCAACTCTTGCACGCCTCGATGGAAAGAAACTTGGGAAGTTCGACCTCAAGGATGGGGCTGCAGCAGAAGCAGCTGCAGATTTGATCAGGAGCTCAGTATTTCGAGCAGGCTGTGTGGAGTCCAAGGTGACAAAGAGGAATCCGTCTGCCCCGTTCATAACATCCACTCTGCAGACGGACGCTGCAAACAAGCTTGGATTTGGCACAACCCGGACCATGCAACTTGCGCAGAAGCTGTATGAGGGCGTTGGCAGTGGTGAGAGGGACCTGGCGGTTCAACATGCTCCTCCACAATTTCTCATCGATTGCCTTAGTTGTGGCAACTGTTGAGAACATTTTCAAGTGTGGCTTATTCCCTTGTGTCATGCGACATTGGAATGTTCTGTTGCATACCTTGGGACAGCTGCAAGCAGTGATTTCTATTAATACGTGCCCCAAGGTCCTGCTTTTGGCACCTAGGGTGGCCAACAGCAAGAACAAAGCTGCCCAGCAAGACGTGCTCACACAGGTTTGCCTGTTTCTCGTGGGGGTTGGTCATCAGCTGATTCAGCAGGCTGGTATAGGATCAGCCTTGGAAGTATTGTTTCTAATGTTTTTCGATGTTGTTTGCATTTCAGTTTGAAGGACGATGTGCACATGTCATGTGTAGAACGATTGCTTGCCAATACAGAACTTGAGACTCGTGTCCTCTCTGTTGTTGTTGCTGTTGTTGGCTGCTATGCGGGATTTCTGATGTTCGTCTTTCTTGTTGGTTGCTTTGTTGTGGCCAGCCGAGGGATTAATCACTTACATGAGGACAGATGGTGTTCAGATGTCAAAAGATGCCATTGCAACCATACGCAAAGTGGTCAAGACAGAGTTTGGGGGTGATTACATCCCTGCCTCGCCACGAGTTTACAAAACCAAGGCAAAGAATGCCCAGGAGGCACATGAGGCCATTCGCCCAACTGATCCAAGGAGACGAGCATCTTCTCTACCCTTGAGCATCAACCATGACATGAAAGCTCTCTATGACCTCATTTGGAAGAGGGCTGTGGCATCTCAGATGAGCAGTGCAGGCATTCGGCAGGTACATTGCCCTTAGCTCTTTATGCCACAGTGATGTCTGTTGTGGATTTACTAGCTGCTACAGCAGCCAAAGGCAGCATTTGTGTCAATGCTCAATAGTTTTGCTACAAAACTGGACCAGAGTGCCACTTATGCTGTTAATAATTGCCATAAATCTCTTGTATCGTATAGACAAGGACAATGTGAATTGCAGAATATGAATCCATATGGCTTGGGCCCACGAATTCAGGAATCTTGGTGTCTTGCTAACCCTGCGGGAAAAGGTTGTCCAGGGGGGGACCTTATTACATTCTCTACTGAGCTGGAAGGCAGAGATTCCAGTGCCACTCAGATCAAATGTGGCAGCAGTAGCCATGAAGCTAGAGGACAGGCAAGATCGAGAGTTCTGTTGTTCAATCGTCAGTGCGACTAACAGATTTGGATCAAGCAAGAGCATTGTTTGGCACAAACACAAAAACATGTGAAAGGGGTTGATTGATAGCACTTCATGGGGAGAAAAGTGATTCTTGGGACTTGGGGACATTGTCTCACTGAATATGATGGTTTGTTTAACATTTAATATCAGTATGATGTTGCAGTTTGGTTTGTTCAATGCATTCATTAATTCTGAGGGGAGGGAGCAGTGTGTGTTCGTTTTGGCTCGTGAAGGTGGAAGCAAACAATCTAACTTTAGACTGGGTCGCTGGTCAAAGAAACCCTATTGGAGAGCAAATTTCCAGATAATGCCTTTGCCATTTCGTTTGATTGCAGATTTAGCTTATGTTCTGCTCACAGTAGGTTGAGCACACAAATGTTGTGGTTGGGTACAAAGGTAACACGACTAGTTTCCCAAGAATGTGGTTCTGCAATCTTTTGCCTTGCTCAAAGGAGGCCTCTTGTTTCTAGTTAGGGAAAATGAGTCACATTTCACATTCATGTGTGCCTTGCATTTGCCTTTGCAACCGTTGCCTGCGCTATGTAAGTGATGGAGAAGCTTCTGATTGCTGAATGAACAGTGCCTACCTTTGTTGACCGATGTTGGTGTGTTCGAGTTCCTAAAGCAGATTGTTTTTTTGAAGAAACACAGTGACTGTATTGCAGGTCGGGCTGGACGTGAACAGCACTGATGGAACGATCACCCTTCGAGGCACTGGTAGCAAAGTTGAATTTCCAGGTTTCAGGGCAGTGTATGGAAATGGTACCTCCGATGAGTCGTTAGCTGCTGTGGCAGCCATTCAATCCATAACAGAAGGCGAAGAAATCACTGTGGTGGCAGTTGACACCATCCAGCACTTCACGATGCCACCTGGGCGGTATACAGAAGGCGCACTGGTGCAGGAGCTTGAGGCCCAGGGTATTGGTCGGCCGTCGACATATGCTGCCATACTGAAGGTTCTTAAGGTGATGGCAGCTGTTTGAATGATGCAGTCCTTCAGACAACATGCCAATGGCACATTAGTAATGCAACTTGCTGCTGCTGAGCTGAGATAGTGAAAGGGTAGCAGCTCTGGCGATCCACAAGAACCTCACATGATTTCAAGAATTTCTTCCAATCGCAGGAGCTCTGGCAACAGCGCAAGCTTCTGCTGCTATAAAGACGGTCAACTGATTGGCATGTCTTCTTCGATGGTGCTGTCATGATATCGATGGCAGGCTGCACATGCCCATTGCCAATGGAAGTGCCAGCTCAGCACAAACCACTGCCAGTTTTATATCTCCCATTCTGCTCAGCACATCATTCTCACAAGCCATGCACAGAAATGCCATTCCTATGCACAGGAGTGCTTCTCCTGTTGTGCTGCATTGCGCCAGAAATAGTGGTAGAGTATTGATATCCATGTTGAAACTGCCCTCCTCAGTTGTGCTGCTGTCACATGATTATGCAAACCATGCGGCACTGATATTATCCTTCGAAGGTGCTTGTGCCACTGTCATGTCATGCTGCACAATGGCAACATGTGTGAATTTCTTCTGGCTGAGTAGGTCTTTGTGCCTGAGCAGTCAACATCCAAATTCTTAGGTCAATTTGGCTGGTAGCAACATTCCAGTCGTGACAGAGTGGCTACTCTCCCCAACTGTGAGGAAAAGACAAACACAATCCCATCCATACTGTTCTCATATTATTTGCTCGTTTGCAAAGAACCACACATGCGTACTGGGTCACACACCGTAGTTTACTTACAAACGAAGCTTACATGACTCACTCCACATGCATGATATCGCCAAAATGCAGCGAGTGTTGCATCAAGGCGTCGAAATTGGCAATGACTTCATTGTAGTTGGGGTTTTGACTGTGGCAGGACCGAGGATATGTGGAAAAGGAAGGAAGGTCTCTGACCCCATCACCAATGGGTTTGGTGCTGACCGCATTCCTCAAACAGTACTTTGAAAAGTATGTGGACTACAGTTTTACATCTTCAATGGAGGAGCAGCTGGACGTCATCTCAGCTGGTGAACTAGACTGGGTAGAAGTCATGTCTGCTTTCTGGCAACCCTTTGAGAATCGCATCAATGAGGTGGGCTGCTCAACTGCATGACTCATTCCCACACGCCTCGGAAGTACTGCAGAACGTTGTTAATCATGTCTGCATGTAGTGTCCCAGCTACACTCTGGCAAAGCACAACACTGCTGAGAAAAACCTGCGGCACGACCTCACTGAAATAGCGATGCTCTGTGTGAGGAACATGTGACATAGGCAATCGGGTGCTTGTGTTTTATGAAAGGCAGCACATTGATCTCTCCAGAACTGCAAGTTTCATGCAGGCAAACTGTGCATAAAACCAATGCACAACGAGCATTTCAGTTACTTGCGGGATCACCAGCACTGACAGCACAGGACATCAAATGCAACTGTATGTCATTATGTGCTGCAAAATGAAATCTTCTGTTGCAACAGCACTAAAGACACTGCATTGCCACTGCAACAAGAGGGCTTGCTCTACTGATAGTGCTGCTGCTGGTTTAATTTTTTTTGGTCAGGCCATCTGCATCAGATTACCAGGCATTACCTCCATGATCCTCAATCAGTGTCTTGTTCTGCACCCGTTGTGGGAATCTGTAGTCTCTTTTCACTGTTCAGTTGTTTCCTCACTGTGTGGTGATGCCTTCTCTCATGTGGAATTGCATGGAGGCGATTTTTGTCAAACATGACACAGAACTGCCACTGCACACAGCAGGCTAAATGGGTTGTCATTCAGATCCAAACTGTATGTGGCCATGGGTTTTCACTCACGTGAGTGCTATTCCCTTCTGCCAGATCATGGATATCAATGGCACAGACATGGTCACAATGCTCAACGAACTCATGGAGGAGTTGGTGTTCCCACCCAAACCAGATGATTCCGATCCCAGAAAGTGCCCCTCATGCTCGTCAGGGCGCTTGGTGCTGAAGGTATCTCGTTCTGGTCCCTTCATCGGCTGCAGCAACTATTCTGATTCTGCCTGCAACTATGCATTTCCTCTCCAGTCCATGGACGGTAAGAAAAAGCACTGGCACAGCAAAGCTCTGGTTGAGAGCATTGTGGCAACTGCAGCGCAGTAACCCTGGGATAGCGGTTTTGCAAATTCACAACTGATCATTCACAACTGTATCAGCTGGAGAATTTCGCCCACTTGTGTACAGCACAAATTGGATGATAGCAGTTAGGAATTTGAGCTCCCAAGTCACCACAATCAGGGCGGGGGGTGTTCACACCAGCATGGGCAAGCTTGCTAAGTTTATCGCCGTTGTGCCCACCCACTGCCCTCGGGAGAATGTCTTTTGTGCATACTTTACCATAGGTCGTGCAGCGGAGAGTGTGCTTTGGGTCACATCACGGAAAATATCAATACATGATACACCCATGGCACGGGACATGGTGAGAGGCACAACCATGTGTTGATTGATGCTTATAAAGGTGACAGCATGCGCCATCAATTTGCACTTGCCTCATGAACAGTCACCACCAGATGTCAGTGTTTGGATCCAAATTGATAGTGAATAGCCAGGCTGCTGCAGACGTTGTGTGCAGCCCTCTGTTAAAATCTCACAGCGATGAGCAGAGGCAGTACACATGAAACCCAGGCAGGGAAACGGGTAGGAAAGGCATTGTACACACTGTTGAGGGACAGTTTGTGCTGGAACAGAGTGCAGCCCTGTATGCCCTTGTCAGTGTGCAAAGAATGGTTGGGTCTCTAAAGGGTGCTCTAAGCCAGCTATCCGAGGGGGACACTGTGGCCCTGGTTGTCATGCCTGAGTTCTTGTGTGGATTGCCTGGGGCAGACATTCAGGCCTTCCATGAAGGCACCGTCCCTCCCGGTATGGTGGAACTGGGTGTGGACCCACGCACTGGTGGGACTGTGACTGTTCGAATAGGACCTTATGGCCATTACCTCCAGTTGGATGGCACTCCAGACAAGAAACCACCCCGGGCAACTCTGCCCTCGGCGATGAACCCCAGCACGTTGACCCTATCGGAGGCTCTCACAATTTTGGCGCTGCCAAAGGATCTGGGACCCCACCCTGTGGACAAGGAACCTGTAATGGTCATGATAGGTCGGTATGGTCCATACGTGAAACATGATGGGAAATCCGCTTCACTGCCAAAGGGATCGGACATATCAGCCATGACTCTGGAGCAGGCAGTGGAGCTGCTGGCCAAGAAAGGAAGGAAGGTATGGCAAAGGGAGGCTGCTACTGTGAATCGCTTGCCATATTGCAGCTAGCAATTGACTATTGCCTTTGCGTCCCTGCAGCTTCCTTTCTGCTGCACATCGTATGGGCAGTGCATGTGTTTGTATGGTATCGGCAGCTGTTAATGTTGGCAAGAAGATTGTGTCCTTTTGGCTGTTGTTGTGCTGCAGTGTATGATTGCAGCTAGGCTTTGTCGGGAGCTGAGACAAAGGGTCGATTCTGTGTTTCAGGCCAAGCGCGCAAGCGTGTCAGGCTCCTCCCTGCGCAGCAGATCTGCAGACACTGTTTCCAAGACTAAAGCAGGGTCAAAGACTGGTCGATCAGCATACATCTCCTTTTGTAGGGCAGCCGTCAGGGAAATTAAAGCAGAGAGACCCGAAATTGCTCATAGTGAAGTGATGAAACTTGTTGGAGAGAGATGGAGATCACTTACCAAGGACGCCAAGGCAAAGTTTGAGGCGACGGCGGCAGAGGACAAACGGAGGTAGGATGGTGTAAATAGTGTGAAAACTTGCCCAAACCGACATAGGTCAGTGAATGAATACACAGATCGGTGGCATTCTGGATTGCGGTGCTCACCGTATGAAGTGTTCCTCATTCTTTGTGCATTGAATGCTCTGCATCGAAAGTCTTAAGTGGCATGAGTGTGGTATTCATTGTGTGAAGTGGCCTGTGTGCAGCTGTTGCCCAGCATGAAGCTCTGTTCTGTTGATTGGCGAGTGTGCTGTTCTGCTGCAAGCTTACTGAGTCATTACAAGATGCGTATGGACATCAGCATCGATCGTTACCACTATCGGCATGCACACTAACGTTTAGAAACCATCATCTGCGTATGGCTCTCTTTCGTTGGGGTCCTTTGTCGGATGGTGTACTCCATGCACAGGCCAGAGGGCTAGGCTGGCATGAGCTCCAAAGGCTAAAACGGAGTTGACCTGCGCCACCTGGTGCACTTTGTGGAAGTGTGAAAAGAGCCGTACGCCTCTCAAGATGCGAATGCTGTATAATATGCGAGGCATCGGAGCAACACCCTTGTGTCTATGCTGTGGTGAAGAAGCCGCTCCTGACAAGAAATTTGAGTCAGGCAGCGGGCAGCGAAACAACAACTGTATGCAACACAGCTCGCCATACGGATTTGTGTGCGCATATCCACGTTGCCTGTGCCACGCAGGCGGAAAGACGCGACAAAAGTGGATTCTAAGCCACGCAAAGGACATGCTGCAAGAGCAGAGGACAAGAAGAAACGGCCCTTGAACCCCTTCTTTGCTTTCAGCAAGCTGCACCGCCAGAAGCTGAAACACGATGAGCCAAGCATGACAGCTGTTGAGGTCACCAAGCGATTGGGTCAGTGGGGGCGAACACCTTTTCACTTGCAGAATTCCACACTCCCTTCATTTTGCGCGCTTTCTTCGTAGAACTCTGCAGAATGAGCTCAAAAGCTCCCTGTGTTGCGTTGTGACCATGACGCAACCATCGATTCAAGAATATCCCGTTGCCCGCCTAGCGGGAATGACCAACGACCTTGTCAGTTGCTGGCAGCAACTTCCTGCAGTGAACTCAACTTTGTGCTTCCCGGCTTGGTAAAGTGTGAATGGGCAAGTGTTGGCATGCCGTAGGCATCCCCTTTCCAAGCAACGTGTGTGAGATTTCTGTCCAGACTGTAGTAGATGATGTAGATATCTCCAAATTCATCCAATTAGGGAAGGGGCTATGTCGATTTTGGTACGCTTAGCGTGAATTTGACGTTTAAGCTCCCCCCTCCCCCCACCACCCCAACCCCCACCCCCCTCTCTCTCTTGGACTCAATCCCTATGTCGAAGCCAGGATGACTCAGCAGCATTATCTAATAGTGGAACAAAATTGCTAGTTGTTTTTGAGAAGAAAAGACGCTCAGAGTTATGCAAAATTTGACGCGCTTGAAGAGTGGTTTTTAAAGCCATTATGGGCAAGGCGGGATGTCTCAATTGCTGTAAATTGACTTCCTTGAAGCCTGAACATTTCAGTGAGGTTTATGAAGAAGTCACCGAGTGTTTTCCTGCTGATCTGCAGCGTTGTGGGGCATTTTTCCACCTTATGCTGATTTTGTGGCAATTGCGTATTCTCTAGGCGTCATTGGTCTGGAACCCCCCTCCAAGATCGATACAGTGTCGTCCCTTACCAAGCAACATGAGCAGCGTACCACAGGTCCAATATATTCGTACCTGATGTATGGGCCGTGCCGTGCCGCTCCTTGTAGCCCCGATGGGGCATATGCAGTGCTCCTGAGCACTACAACGCGCTACCTTATGGCTATATTCTGCAAGCTGAATGGAACAGATGAATACAGTGGCTGTGCGCTGATGCGTGGGGTGGCATGGCACAGGAGAAATGTGGCGAGCACTGAGTGATGCCGAGAAGGCGGAATATTACCAACAAGGGAATGCAAAAGGCGGCGTCAACAGCACCCAGAATGAGGAGAATACCACAGGAGTGTCGTCAGTGTTTTAGCACGGTCAGGGCCAGTGTGCTGGAAGCATGGCAAACGCGCACATTGTGGGATGATGGCTGGCGGTCGCGGTGTCGCTTTGATGGTTCGATTTCTGTCCACAGCACGATTGCAAATTGCACAGCCTGATTTTGGCGGGCAATATGCGACTGCAAGGTGGGATGTGCAGTTCCCTGAGAATCGCACTCTGATACACTGGATGCACCCTGTTTTACTTTGAATTTTCCTCGACAAGATATTCGCCGCTGCTGCATTCCGAAAGTATGAAACATACTGCGGAGTTGAAGCCGCCCATCGAACTCGTCAACATCCCACTTTCCGTTCGTGCAAGAACTTTGAAGAAAGGCGTGGTTTCATCCAAACCACCGCCAACGCAACAAACCGCGTCAGCCAGCAACATCTGGAGCGCTCGAACCCCATAAATTGCACGCACATCTTCAGAACAGGAAAGAACAGAAAGACTCCAGCGCCGACCTCGAGCGTGCCGGCTCTGCAGCACGCGCCTCGCGCACAGGGCACGCAATGGACAGTCGGCAGAACAGCACGTTCAACCGCCAGTGTGCATGGGGCACCAATATCGCAATCGTTCCTTTTATTAACCAGGCAAGGAGGCAGCCGTCAGCTTTCCATTTCGCCCGAGCACAGCAGTGTCCATCAGTACATTGCAACCCAACGCATAACACAAAACCCAGAAATTCATCAGTTCCTCACACCAAGAAGTTTTTGTCGATGGTAGTACAACCAGCATCAATCAGGCAACACACAAGGGCCGCCAGACCCGCAGTCACGTTCCCTCCAACAGCGCGGCAGTTGCGCCACACACGCTCCGTATTTGACGCGCTCACACTCCGAAGATAGCGTCCCTCGCCTTCCGGTGCCACGCCACCGGCGCGCCCACCACGCCCTCCAGCACCGCCCGCGCCCTCCCCCCGCACTGCGCCGCCAGCCCAGCCGTCACCCTGGGCTGGCGGCTCAGTCGCGTTGGCCCGCCCCCCGCGGAAGGGCCCGCGGGCGCCTTGGGCAGCAGAGCCCGCATCTCCGGGAAGGCACCACCGGGAGGGGGTGCATTTTGTCCGGCGGCGTTTTCCGGGTCGTTCTCGGACAGGTCCGTGAGCGCCAGCCAGACGACGTCCGCGTCGACGGCCGCCAGGGACGCCACCGCCCGCGAGGACGCCTCCCGCAGCGCCAGCGGCTGGCCGGGCGCCCAGAAGCCCACCAGCTCGTCGACGACTTCCGCCACGACCCACCTCAAAGACGTCCGGCCCCCTTCGCAGGACGCCACCCTGCTGACGCAGTCCAGGGCCGCCTTGCGTATCCGCAAGGATGCATTTGGGGGAGGGTCGCAATCTGAAGCGCCTCGTTTGCTTTCCCCGTGGCATCCCCGCTCAAGCAATCGCTGGAGGATAGGCCAGGCGTCGTCCGTCAGGCGCCGATCCATGAAGCTGCCGCCACCGGCCTCGATGACATGAGCCAGCAAGTCGAGGGCGCGCTCCGCCGCGGGCCCGCGGGTGTCCTTCAGGCAGTGCAGCAGCGAGGGCCAGGCCCTGTGGATGGCGGGCAGGAGCATGGGGACGGCGGGCCTGACGGGGCTGGTGGCGGCCTTGGCCTTGCTGAGGTGGTCCTCGCGGAGGCGCTCGTCGATGGCGTGGGCGGAGGACGTTCTCGTGAGGGCGCCCAGCGCGGACGCGCAGACGGCCATCGCCAGCAGAGACACCTGCGGAGCCGCAGTTTCACTTCCTTTAGTGGCGCGTGAGCGGCTCGCCAACGTAACAACAGGGCGTGGACTGACCGGAGTTGTGCGCAAGCATGTGTACGCGCCTGTCGTCGCCTGCGGGGAGCAAGGGGGAGGCTTGCCTTTCGGAAGCGGAACTGCACAAAGGAGCTGCTAGCACGGAGTACGGCAGAGGAATTGATGTGCACACGTGGTACTGCACGCCCAGAATCCTAGCATGTGGCCTTCGCTGCTGTGGGGCTGAAGTGGCGACAGTGCCGGGATGCATCGGCTGCGGCAATAGAGCGATTTGACGGGGCACGCGGCGATGCTGTTCGTTGTCACACTTTCGTCACCCACTGCCACACAGAGCAGCCAGAGCACGTCTTGCTGCCAAGTGGCACAGCTCCATATTTGCATGCGCCCGAATCGCAATCGCCAGAACGGATCTAGAAACTTGCATTATCTGATTTAACCATTCAGATGCCCGGGTTAGGATGCCCACTTCCAGGTGCAGGGCGGAGTGCTCCGCGTCACATTGTGGGCAGCAAATCTGAGTGCGGTCTTGCATCGAATCACTATTATCCGTTCACCAGCCTTTCGACAGCAACACCCAGCAGCACGACATCACCTGCAACCTTGGGGCTGGGGAACAGCAATGCACTGAACGAAAGGACAGGACACCATGGTTGGATTCGCTTGGCCCTGCACCGCCTTTGAGCACATAAGCGATGTGTCGCACATCACGAAGAGTAGATCAAACCGATGCTTATTTATTCCCACAACAACTGTTGCGTGGGAGCAGGAACCAGAAACTAATTGGAGAAAGAGATTTGTACCTGAGACCAGCGCCCAACACTATGCAACACTCAGAAGGGAAGTGCCTGGTCATGCTCTGATACATGTGAGGACATAGGACACCTGCCCTTGGCTTCAAATGGTTTTTAATCACAGAAGGATCTAATCAAATGAGCACTCATTTTGATAACTTCATACACCACTATATACCTGGAGCAGCAGTCAGGCACATACCCTGAGCTCCTTTGACAACATCAGTGGTGCTGCCAGATCGACTGCTGAAGATGCTAGCACTGCCGCAGCGTGCAGCCTCACTGAGAGGTTCTCCAACGCGACCTCTTCTTCCTCTGTCAGGAGAATGCTTTCATTGGGAGCGCTCACTCCAGCCTCCTCCTGGTCACCCTCACCCTCATAATGCTCCCTGCACCTTCGGAAATACTCTTCCACATCTGCATCGGATGTGGACAGGTCTGTGGGACACACAGAAAGCGCCTTGGCAACAATACTGATCACTGCACTGCTACCACACACTGCCCCTTTGCCAGCAACACGAAGGCATGTCAGCATATCTCCTTGCTCCTCGCTCACCTTCCGATTCTGCTCCACTTTCAGAGGCCTGGGTTCTTGCCTGCAGCTCATGTACCAGCAGCTGAGCAGACTGCAAGATTTGTTCACCCTCTGCTGTCGCAGCATTAACTATCTCTGATGCAGCCTGCAGAAATGCTGGCGTGTACCATGGTGTAACATGTCGTGACATTATTGACAGCCCCTTGCACAGAGCACATGCAATATGTCAGTGGCCGCATCCCACCATTCCCGGTTCAGCAGTGGTCCTTTGCACACCCTGACCAGCTAAGGCAGAGCTTCACAAGCTGCCATGAAACAGCGCTGTTTGCAGCCTCCGTATCAAGTAATGCCAATGCAAAGTGAGGGACTTACCGATTTCAAGTTCTCTTATATATTCAGGCTTTCTAATACATTCAAGTTTTCTGAGCACAGCAGTAGAATCATGACAACTCTGTCCGTTGCACCTGCACGGTAGCATCAGATTTACCTATGACCAGGAGAGAAGAACAGCTGGCAGAACTCTCTTAGGCTGATTCTGCAGGCAGAGCCAATCAGTTCACACCACTTCACACTTATGGCATTGGCATGCTACTGTAGACCAACATGTCACACCTTGAAAGCCAGCCTGGCTGGTTCTGCCATCAGCGGCAACAGCTCAGGAGCCACCCCAGCCTGCTTGAAGAGAGCAGCAAACAGAAAAGGTGCACGAGGATGCCTGTCGATGGATCGAAGCTGAGTACATAGGCCGTCCACGATGTAGTCGCCATTTGCAGAAATCAGGTCACTCAGGGCTGGGTAGCCGCAGTGGATGCATATCTGGCAACGCAACACAGAGCTCTATCAAAGTTTGAGCAGCACCAACAGGTCAACGAGATAAGGCCAGTGCGATGCAGCAATGAGCAAACATGTGAATACTGTCAAACAATTCTCTGCACTGCAGTACCGAGTGGGCTCTTTGTGTTCAAACTACGTTCCTCAATTGCAGAGCTGCGGGCCAGTTTGTGCTGGCCTGCAGCCATGTAAACCAATGCTGCCAACGGCTTGTTGCCACTCTAAGGACAGCGTGTATGGCCTACCCCTTACCGAGCCCACTGCCACCTCTGCTGCTGATGATACAAAGGGTGTCGGGTCGCCAAGTCGCTCAAGGACAGGCATGAGCACTGAGCGGAGCAGGCGGCCATTCCTTGCAAACCTGGGGCCCAGGACAGAAGCACACACGCCCACACACTCCAGCACAGCTCGGACAAGTATGGCATTCTCCCCAAGATCCTGCAGACACACAGGAAATACACAAGCATGCATCAATTCCCCCTGGCCCAGCACAGCAGCACACGACATTGCTGGTGTCAACATGCAGGAGCCAGTTGCATTTTTTGTAATACAATGCTTCATGGAGCAACCAGTGAAATCTGTATTGGTACTACTCCAACATACTTTTGACTTAAAGGTCAACATGAACCACAAGTCTTTGGAAGATTTTAGCAATGCAGCGGCAAGCCACAAACTACATTTGACTTGCTTGACCAGTGCAACTAGACAGCAGTGTGCAAGACAAGGGTACTTCGGCACCACCTGGATGGTCTGCTTCTCCTGATCCATGTCGTCCCTGTTAGTTTGCAGGCCCCACACAGGTCCCTCCATGTATGTGTTCAAAATGGTCAAAACAATGTCCTCCATACTGCTGTCCTGCACAGCAAGTGAGCAAGTGAGCAAGTGAGCAACGGACCATGCTCAAGCCATTCTGACACATCAAATGTGTGTTTAACATCCACAATAGGTAAACACCCCATGGACAAGGTTGAATCCTGGACTCTTGAAAATGTGATGCAGCACACTGCTCTGGAACAAGAAAATAGAACAGGGCAGTGAAAGTGCTTGTCTCTGCGCTCCACCACAGCAGATATACAATACGGTCATGCATTTGACACTGAACATGCAGAGGTTCATTCAACCACAGATGTTGAATCGATATTGACGACCACAGCTCCCAATGTTCACTCAGGTTTCTGCGATAAGCTGAACAGGGCATGGAAATATGGGAGCTTTGTCAGGTGCCATATAATAGCGAGATAATGTTGCCACTGATCGCATGCAGCCATTTGGATGAAAACTGCCCATTCGCCCAACATGTGCCGTGGAGAAACGTATACCAATCCCACGTAGGACACAATGTGACATGTTTCAGCACTCCATCACCCAACACCAGTTGTGTGCAAAAGTTGATAGGCCGGAGCACCCTCAGCCGCATACACAACTGCACACTGCACACCTGCCATGCCTCTCGCTCATAATCTCCGGTCTCCGAACTAGACAAGCATCCAAGGCTTGGACGGAAGGCAGCTGATGTCCCATGCATCACCTGTGACAAAACCGTAACTGCCGATGCAGCATGCAGCTGCCAGTGGTCTGAAACGCCAGAGCTGGAGCGATTTGCACAGCTCAAAAATACCTCCAGGAGACTGTCCACTACTCCAAGCAAAGTGCACCCTGCAGAGCACACCACAGTTGTGCCGAAGTTTTTATGTGTTGGTTACACTTGCCCAAACAGATACATATGCCATTGTCCAGCAGATTAGTGCAAGGAGTGCGAACACTTCAATGTATCTCTGCACCATCCCAGTAGATCTCAAAGTGCCCGTTTCAGCACACCACACCACACAGCGATGTCCAAACTTTGCCAGGTCAGCATGTCTCATTGCCTCCTTAAGTTTATTTCCTTTCCACTCTTTCAGATACTGATGAAGCCAAACTGTGACCACACTTAGTTGGTCTGATCGCCTTGTCTGTTGTGGCCTTGTGGACACAGCAGTGGTTGCTGCATCCGTGGGTTGCCAAACAGTTTCTATAGGCAGCGTTGAGAGAGCCATTCATGAAATCATGACCTCTTGGGTGTTGGCTGCCAGAGGGTAAGAAGCCCTCCAGTACATTTATGACTAGAGAACAGACCTTTCTGTTAGGGTGGGTGGCAGAATCAAGACTCTTCAATAATCTCTTCAATAATGCCATTCACACTTTAGAATTCACACAAGAGGGAACAATGTCAGATCTGGTATGCAGTTTCAGCAGTCCTTGAACAGCTGCACACAAACAAGTTTGACTCACATTTGCACACGTGCTGCAAGGTAAAAACATTGTCTACAGTTCAAGATCTTCAACCAAAACTGGTGTCGTTTGTTGGAGAGGTGCCATGCCCATCGAACCAAGAAAGCTGCAGGACAAGAGTGATCGCTTGGTCGAAACAGAATTCGCAGAGCAAGGGAAACAGGCTGTCGCCTTCATGTTGCTGCAGGGTGAATAAACAGGTTGTTCTTCGGTCAAGGTACATACAACAATCTCACATCCAGACAGCATTGCACACCATAGCCTGTACAAACGTCAAGGGAAACAAAGTTCAGCAGTACAGTGCAGCCATTCACACAAATCACACCTGTGCCACTATTCTGCCTGCTGCCATACAGTGCGATGCCTCCCATGCCACGAGCAACTCCAGCCACTGCATTGTAGCATCGCTCTGTCGTGATGTATGCAAGCGCCACGGGCATTCGTGGAAGTGCTGATGCCACGCTAGGAGCATTTAGATGGCTGTCTTCAGCATGAGCCACACCAGATTCTGCACAGGCTTCGTCAGAGCCAGTGAAAGATATCCTGCTACCATCTCCTGGTTTCGATTCATGCTCTTCTGTGGTGAGACGATCAACAGCACCAGACGAAGTGGCTGCCTTGGGTTCCACCGATGCTGAAGTGCTGGCCTCCATTTGGGTGATGTAAAGGCCTCCTTGTGCGGAGCTTTGCAGCAGAGAAGGCACCTATGCAGAGAGAAACATCTGTTAGATTGCCTTTGCTACAACATCACTCAACACTGTCATCGCATCCCGAAGGTAATGACACGCCCACTCCCATCGACAATGCCCGTTCAGAAAAATTGCAAATTTAAGCCTGCCAAAACGCCAAGAAATATCTGAAAGGTGAAAGAAAGCTCAAATCTTGCTGCATGAAGGGTGGCACCTGTGCAGAATCAAAGGAGAAGCTCTTGCACAGGGATGTGCACAGGACAGAAAGCTGCACAGGATTGCTGAAGACCCAGTCGTTGAGGTGGACAGGACCTAAGGTGGCACATACACTTCATGTCAGCAACGAGAACGAACTCTAGGACTTATGTCATGCCCTATGAAGACTACTTGTACGGAATGCCAGCGAATGAAATGGCGGCAAAAGAGTTGCCAGATTAAAATAACGACAGATATGTGCAGAAACAATGGCAAATATCTGCCAAAAGGCACTACTTATCAAAATGCCATGCAAAGTGCCAATGACACTTGCCCAGCCATGCGCACTTGCAGCTTCGTTTTACAATTGAACACATGCAATTCAAATATGCAGGTCAATCAGATGCGTTGGCCAGCACGTGCACAAGCTGTTGTAGCCATCCTCTGTTGCTATGGCTCAGAACAACCTACCCAGAGTAAGGGAGCTGCACAGATGGCCTATTGGTGCAGTGATTGGTTGTCTACTACTGCGCAACCATGTTATTTAACATCAGATAAGAAGGTGAGAGGCTTGTAGCGGGCAACAATTTCATGAGCTACAGTCGAGGGCCAGCGCACGGCTGTGCCAGTTGATCTACATTTGGCAATCAAAGCCAACACCACCACAATGGTGTACTATCAGACGATGACCCATCATATGCAAGAGCTAGCTGTGGGTGCTCCTTTCATGATTGGGCACTACGCCCTTGGGGAGTCTGGTCACCAAGTGCACAGTCCCATTAAGGATGGACTTTGTCCCCGTTGTAAGGAGTAACTTTGGGGGCAGAAAGTGAGCAATAAAATCGAACAACTGTCCTATGGAACACAACAGACTAGACAATTTCAATACAGCACAAAAGCTCATCAGCAATGCACAAGGTGAATTAGCTCGATCGGTGCAGCTCTTTGGGTCTTTGTAGTTCAATGTTCTTTGCAGCCCTTTGAGTCGATATCTTCCGTTCGATCATGGTGACGTTCTGAAAGGGTGTGATAAATCTGCTGAACTGGGAAGAAGCATGTGGGGTGGCAATTCAAGGGCTGACAAAACATTCTGAGTAGGCAACTTAAACACCCAGGAAGACAGCAATATCATGCAATAAATAGCATCTGTAAGGAATCGACTTCCTTTGGGCTGCTATGCAGACAGAAAGCTTGCTTGATGCAGAGCGCAAATGAAATCCTCACTCTCTGACTGCACACCAAGAATAACTGCACATGAATATGGTTGCAGTGCTCCACCAAATGCAACGGGGTCTTAATGCCAACACTTGCAGATGTCATAAGTGTCTGAAATTGCCAATCATGTGTGCTGCAGAACTTTGCCACACTGTAGTGGAGAACATGCATGTGCACCATTTGCTACAAACAGGACAAAACATTGCCAATCAACTATAACGGGATGTTGATCAATTTAGGATATCGTTGAGAGATTATAGAAAACTTGATAGGGAATGCACTGGAATGCCATGCTGCTGGCAACACTGCCCATTCCCACCAACAAAAGATTCCTAATAAACAGATACTTACGATTGCAGTTAGCTAGCTCATAGCCAGAAATCAACTTGTGCACAAGGAGGCCAAAAATTTCGATGCTTTGAAACTGTAAATTCAAACACAACCACCCACCTGACACAATCATAGCTGATAGCAAACCTCGTCCTGCCATCGCACCCTTAGCTTCACTCGACCTCACACAATCAGCCAGCTCAGCTGACAAGCGGAGAACTATTGACCGCAGATTCACAATGATATTTTTGTTGCCATCCATCACTGATGGGTCTTGGTGCTGTATCCTTAAGAGGTACCTGTGGCAGGGAGCCTTCACCTGAAGGCACACAGGGCACATGCTATTGAGCAAACTGGAGCTGGAAGCTACACAGCCGACCACTGGACAGCAGACGCAGTGGTACAACTCATTTTCCAGCACAATGCAGGCAATCTGTGGCACCTCAGTCCTGCTACCCATGTTTACCCACTTATTGCCTCACTATGCCTCCTTTGCAATGCTGTTGAAATGGCCATGGTGGCTATGCCACAACATGTGAGTTTGGATTCATGCCACAGCAAAGTGAAGTCACACTGTGCACTTTGTCTTCACCATGCATCAATGTACTGCACCAGTAACAATGCACTGCATGAGAGCAGTCGATCCAGCAGATAGATATAAGCACCATGGGCAGCTTCAGCCAACCATTAACTGTCTCCAGAGCAAGCAAATACCTGCCGCTGGCCCTGACAAGCATCACCTCAAACTATCAGGTACATAGACTCCATTGTTCGCAGGGCAATGATTTGTTGTGCTTTAGCAGCTCTAGACAATGAGGATTTACACATGCCTGTGTGGATGCAGAAGCACAGAGAGTAGTTTTGGGCCAGTGCACTAATTCCAACAACACTGGCATCAAACCTGAGCCTGAGTTCAAACCACACTTGGGCATTCATGGTTCAAGCGTAGCTGTGCAATGTGTGCATTGTGATGATATACAATAGAAATGTGCAGAAACACGTGCTTCAACAGTTCACCTTTTCCCAGTCATCTTGCGCCAATGTAAGCAAAATGCCGAGAAGCATTTCCACTGCTGGGCCCAGTGCCATGGAGCAGTCACTCAGCAGCCGCACAGCACCTGGGCCATGAGGTGCACAGGGATTGTCAGGACAGCCACAAAGTGCAGGAGGCAAAACACCAAGGGTGGTTAGTGTGTCAACCAACCTCCCAGACAACATCAAAGTAATAATGGTAAATAGTTTGGGCTCACCAGTCACCGCATCAACTCTAGTTGGAGCGAGGGCCCTGTGCGCTGTACTTTGTGCACAGGCAGTTGAGCAGAATCCAATCCACATCCCAGCCACATCGACTGATCACCAATGTTCGCAGTGATTGACGGCCCTCCATACTCTGCACAGGGAAAGCTGAAGCCACTATGACACTGAAAAGTGCACGAGTTGAGAGTTAATGAATATCGTAATTCAGCCTTCGCCAAAAGTCCAGAGCCGGTGCTACCGCGCCGGAATAGCTTGTATCGCGCCCAATTGCAGACAAGCTGTGGTTGTGATGGGGCGCTAAAGGTTCCTTAGCAGCCAACTGTCCCATCTTTGCTGTAAAAAAAAATAAAATCCTGAACTGGCACAGCAGCCAAAACTCTCATGCTTGTCACCAGTCCCCAGCTCAGTTGTGAGCTACCTTGGGCTCTGGTACCACAAATATTCCCTTTCTAATTTCTCGCTACTCTGCAGTGCTGATATGCCAATCCAATCCCCAAGTTGTGAGTCAAGCATAAGACATGGACACCCTCACCAGCTGTCACATAAGTAGCCAATTCAACAGTGTGATGGCAACTATGCAGCATCAACAGCATCATCACAAACAAGTCCCTGCACTTGCAGAATATGACAGGCACAACAACAGCAATTCAGTGTGCAATGTCACAAGGTCGAAATTCTGCGTGCCACAGTGCTTACATAGCTATGTGATTTATGGCATTGTTATCTACCCAAAGTGGACATGAACTGGTCGCAAGCCAATGCACCCACCGCTCACCTTCTGCAAGTGCACATCTAACAGAGGGGCCTGGGTGATGAACAAGGGGAGGCAGGCAGCTCTTCAAAAGGTCGGAAACTTTCTCACCACTTGACACAACCCAGCGCCATGATCCTGTGGGTGCAACAGGCAACAACAATCTGTCCAATCACGCATAGGAAAAGTGTAGAGCGACAGCCTAGTGGCCCACGTTGAGCGATTTCGTGATGACAATACAACATAGCAATTTACAACCAAACAGTGCCATCTGAATAAAGTAGCAGACGATGCGTACTTCATTTGTGTCATCATGTCGCTGGTGGCCATGTGCACAACACAGCAGACATTGGCACAAGCATTGGTTGTTTGGTGGAAATGGTGACATTGACACATTCAATTTTCTGTGTCACCTTGAGCATTCAACTGCTAACAAACAACATGGCCACCAAGCAAACATGTTGCTGGGAAGGAAAGCCTAATGTGATTCAACACTGGCAACTCGAAGACTTTCCCCTCGCTACAGGAGCTTTGAAACAACCTCATAGCAGAAGAAAATACATTTGGCCCTAGTTCCTTCATCCTTCCTCCATCTACACAGATCTGCACCTCAACATCGCAAAATTCATGCACCATTTGGCAGTGGCTGAAGCTGTACAAGCCACGTGATTCATTGATATTCATACCGCCTCTTGGCAGCTAGCTCATTTCTCCCAACAACCCTCATTATACCCTTACTGCCGCTCCTCTAGTCAATACACAAGTTTCATGTTTTGGTCAGCACATTTCCAACAAGTCAATCACTCAAATTCCACCACGAATGGAAACGGATTCACTGTGTTTTGTTCACATCTCAGCCACATGATCTTACCTGGTTCTTGGTGTTCCTCTGATTTGGCCACAGTTGCTGACACGGTGCCACCATCAGAACATCCTTCAACAATCGACAATTTGGCAGCTTGCAGCCTTGCCAAAATTGTGTTGGGGGTCATGTCTGTGGCACTGTTCCACACTAACATTTCAATCGTTATAATGTCACACTAGGAGGCCACATGGCACCCAACGTGAGCACAACAGGCTGTTCCTTTTTATCTTTGCCATATTTTGCATTGGACGGGACAATGTTTGCCTTGACTAGGATGATGTTGACCAACACAGCACAGAAGCACAATTCCATTAACTGTTGAGCCTCCGCACCACCAGCACCATTCTGACCTCATTCGTTGAATGTGATGCGAATGTGACAGAATACGGTCAACACAACAGAATACAATCAGCATCGCCACAGCAACAATCAATAGAATCACACATACGTTGTATGGCAAGCAATCAGACACAACCCTGTACTCATTCACAAAGCAACTGGCAGGCTTTGACCCATGTCTCTCCATTTCAACTCCCCAATCAATGAATCAGCGCTTTCCGATGTAAATGACACTGTGCCCACTCACCTTTCCTCAGGTGGCTTCATGCCCATCACCTGCCCGTTGCTCAGGCAGACATCAATCACAGCAACAAGCGCATTGACAGCCTGTGACACTGCAATGCTGCTAGACATCGCCACACGAGCATTGTGCACACGCAAACCTGTTGGCCGAACAGCACACAGCAACAGAACCCATGAGTGCCTTGCCAACCATTCTGGAGGTCGAGGTCTTTTTCATGACTAGGGAAATGTGCTGTTGATGATCATGTTGCCCTTCATTGGTGGCATGACCAACAGTAATTTGTCAACATCTGCGATTGAAGATATGGCTGTGCAACACCGCTTACCAGGTGCCACGGCCTCTCATTGCAATGGTCCAACCTTGTTGATAGTCACACGATCTGCCAGATAGCACCAGGATGCTGTTGTTCCACAGATAATACGTGGATATGGCCCTTTGCAAACCATTGTTCTCTGGGCACATCTGCAATGCACGATTTGATGCATCCAACAGGTGCTTGCAGCACGTTGTCACTTTCACAACACTCACAGGTCCCACACTGCAAAAAACTTTTGTGTGCTGCCGCCACACACACACACAATCACAAGTGTCGACACAACTCAATTTCCCCCCGTTGCTACATTGCCCATTTCTTTCTACACATGCACAAGTTCAACAGAAAGGGGTACAGTGGGGCCTGCCTGCCTGCTTGCCTCAACTGCTCCGCAAGTGTAGTTGCACAGCCCGGAAGCATACACCTCCAAACCTTTGACAAGGGTACTCCCTGAGCCAACAAATGAACTGTTCTGAAGGCTTCTCCCACCAAACGCCGGCTCCCTGAGCACACAACCAACCGCAGCTTCAGCTTTCCTGCCAGATGCTTGATGACATGGTTGTATTTGAGGCCAATGCCTGGTAACTCAATGTCCACCAAATACCTGTGCCCAGATGTGACAAGCACGGCATCGATTTTGGAAAAGAGGCAAAATTGGTTCATAACTGGCATGCCAATAACTCTGGCTCATTCATCATGACTGAATGTGCCCAAACATTTGAAAAGAATGGCCTCTCACTTACCGGACACTGCCAGACTCAATCTTCACAAGCCCGTTTTCTTCTAGCTGCGCACACCTAATTCAGGCGAGCAATACTACCAGGAGTGTCTCAGTGGCTCAAACATGGCAGTTCCACTCCGTCCTTTGCTTGACTATTTCCCGGTCATTGTACAAGCAGGCCTGTGCCTCAAATCCGCTGGGAGGTGCAAGTAGCGTGCTTCATAACTGTTCAACAAATGGGTACAGCAGCCTCACAAACCTCTGTCCCCTTCCTCCCGTGCTGCCTTCAAGCACTGGTGTGTCAAGAAGGCCAACACCTCCCGAGGTCGATCTTCTGCCATCTGGTCCTGTAAGTCGGCATTGTTGCACTTGTGCCTGCTCGCCAGGTTGGCCAGACAGCCAATCGAAGCGAGCCGCACCTGAAGGGCAACAAGTTCAAGCTGTTGTGATCCGGCAGCAGAGACCACAGTAGAGGTCTCCAAGGGCCCATAGTACAAGCCGGCTGCATGTTAATTGGCAGTGGGATGGCAACACAGTTGAAATCAGCCTGCGACATGGATGGCATTAGTACCATTTGCCACCCCAAAAGTGTTTGGCCACTGTTCCTTTGACTTTGGGCATGATTCGGCAAAAAAAAGATGAAGATCTCAAATGAATTCAGCAAAAAGGTTGGGGGTGGGGGTGGGGTAGGGTGGGGTCAGGGGTGGGGGCTGCAACTGCACAAACTATTGACCACTGAATGTTGGCAGAGAATCGTAGCAAATTCCGATATAGCATCTTGCCCAGCACAAGGAGTGGCCTCAGCCTTGACTGTTTATGGCTGTTCTTGCATCGTGCTAGCTACCGTACGCCCAATCATGTGTTGTTGATTTGCAGCTGGGAGATTTTTTGCATACAATCTCAGGCAGAAGAGATTCTCACGTCCTTTGCTGGGCAGAGCATATCCATGTTTACTGGTGTCCCTTTTCTTCAACAAATCCTTGGCATCCAGGACAACATTGGCTTTGCAAATTAGCAATTGTCCCCTGACAAGCAACTGACCTCTTCAGAAGCAGTTTCCTTATTCAGCACCATGAGGTCAGCCAATGCGTACAGCAGTCGCACAAACTCTGTTGCATCTGAACAACACGTCCTTGAAAGCAGCTCCTCCAGGCAGCCTGCCAGACCAAAGGCCAGAAACATTTCACTTGCATGCATGCGGACCCTGTCCTGCCTGCTGCAGACTATGTCGCTGTCAGCATACTGGAAGGTACAACAGAAGATTTCAAGACCACAGAGTTCTGTCTCATGCCGGCAAACACTAAACATGTCCATGCCATGGAGTCTCATTCCTGATGAACCCAAGAATATCTACATTTTTGTTCGATACAACACGATTCTGGGAAAGTCCAGCGCATACCTTTTGAGACTGTTCAAAATTTCAAAATGGCAAGCCAAACAACACCTTCCCCTTAGACGAGTCTTTCTATCAGGAGTACCTCTCAGGCATACCTTTCAGGAACACTGTAGCATATTATATTTTTCCATATCGGAACGTAACGTTTGATACGCAGCAATAACGACATCATAACCGTCCCAAGAAAATGTGGAGCAGCCCCAGCCACGACGTGAGGGTCTCTGAACTGCTTGTGGCGTCTGGCAGTACCGGACGCATGAGTCACTGCAAAGGAAAACCCAGATTTGAGGCCAAGCGAACAGAGTGGAGTTGCCATTCCGACTGTGACCATGAAGCGGATCCTCCAAACTAACGGTCTGTCGAAAGCATTCGGAGCAAAGTAGTAACGCTGAAATTTCAAAATGAGGAAGGGTAGAATATACTGTGGTAGGTTTCAGAAGGAAAGCCAATGCAGGTAAGGCTTAAGCAAGGGGTCATGTGGGATTTTGCGTTGCTCCAGTGGCAGAAAACAGGGAGGCAGCTCGTGTGGATCCTTTGGCAGAGAAATCCCCGGCGGCAGCAGGGCGTTCAAAGAATCTCCAGCCAACCCAGCAACGTGACCACAATTCCATGGTCACTATTGCCTTATGAAAAGAGGAAAATGCCATTGTCCCCCGCCCACCCGCATCCAACTGCGGCTTGTCACTCCTTTACTTTACCGACCCATGTCGGAGCATAGAACGCGAGCAAATGATTCCTAAAAAGAGAAATAAAGGGAAAGCAACCCCCATCCAGGCTCGTCCCTTCCCAGTCCACGGTACAAAACCGTTGTCCCCCTGCCCCCTCACCGATCGCACGCTCCGCCACGCGGTCGGCCTTCGCCAGAGGGAATCTGATCTGCTCCGCACACCGCTCCGCCTTGTCCGACCGTGCGATGGCCACGGACTGCGCCAGCGCCAGCAGGGGCAGCATCAGGCTGCCCCGCGCCTCCTCCAGGGCCGCCTCCGGCGCGTGGCTGATCGCCCCCCTCAGGCCGTCCAGGGCATCCGGCAGGCGGCCCGCGTCGCTGCGGCTGGACAGCACGTCCCCTAGCGCGCCGTACACGTTCGGCCACGCCGCCGCCATCGGCATGATCAACGACTGCAGCCCTTGCGAAGTGGAGACTCTCGGTCAGGAGTCACCGTCCGCGGGGAGGGGAGCCTGGCCCGTGGCTTGGTGCGCCGCGCCCCAAAGGGGAGTGGTGCATCGCACTGGGCAAGTTGCAACTCGAACGTTTGGCTGGCGGGAAGGGCGCGCACCAGCGTGCCCCGCATGGGTCCACACCCCCGGTTTCGTATCGGTTTCGCCAGCGGTGCCTGCCGTACATGTCCGGTACATACCGTACGCATCGGGGGCACGGCGGGTGATAGTTGTCAACCTTGTGTTTCGTCTTGCAGCACGGGACCAACATGCGCGACGACAGTGGCGTTTGTGCACTATTTGTCGGGGCCCGTGGGGGCGCTGCAGGGCTGTGAGTTCTGGAACGGAAAGTTACCCGGGTGAGAACCAGGACTTGCGTCCGTACACCTCGATGAGCGCTGTGCTCTGTTCTGTTTCCTTCTCCGTACCGTGAGCAAGACTCGGGCTGGAAGTTTAATACACCACAGCCACCTCTATCTGCTCTACCACTCCAGCCGTTTGTCTCGCGTTTGCGGCTACCAGCACCCCTGAACTTCCGAGCCAGAAATGACCAGGAATGCGGGGAAAATTTGCAAAAATGGAGCAATAATGGTTTCTTGATACCCCCCCCCCCCCCCAAATGCACAGAGATTGCACTGAGGATTCCCTTCGCACCAACTCCAGGCCGCCTATCATGCCGACGTTTGTTTGACAGACAGCAATCCATTCATTTTGCCTCCACCAAGGGGCAAGCCTTGACATTGGGCTCAAGAGGATATTTGTCCCAGAGAAAGTGACTCTGTGCAATCGACCAGTCTGTGTAAGGAACACAACGAAGGTGGCCAAGAATCCTCTGATGTCTGGTTCTACGCCATTGTGGAAGTTATGAAATGTGCCGATTTCAGTCCAAAAACACAGAGTTGGGAACTTTGTGGGTTGCTATGTGGGTTACTACCAGTTCATTGGTTCCATGAACTACTCCTGTTGGAAAACTAAACAGGCCCTTCACCACGCAGGCCAAAACGGGACCACAAACATCCAATGGACGTTGCCTTAATGCCCCCAAATCACGATTCCTCACAATCTGTAGCTCGTGTCGACTGCATTTTACAAGCAACTTTTGCAGCAGCTCATGAGGTGTACCCTACGAATGGAATGCAACATGTGCTGGGAAGTTACAAATGTCAGAGCACGCAAGGTGCCTGACATACATGCTCCTGCATCTATTTCCATGCACACTGACAACACCAAGCTCACCCTCCAAACTCCTTCAATGTATGCCCAACAGGTAGAGATCCCTGTCAACCCACATCCAAGTCGTTCCATACGTTGTTCCATGAATAGTGGCGTTCCTGCTGTCAGTTGGGGATGTCTACCCAAAGAAAAAGCAAGTCTGGGCTACACTGCTCCAACCGTCACCTGCTGATTCATGCCTACAGCATTTCTGCTGTCTTCAACCAGAAGACAGTAGGACTGTTCGCCACCACCCAGGTAGACTGTTCGCCACCAGGGCTCAGCCGAATTTCTGCGACCATGCCACTGAAGTACGAAACACCATCTCTGGTGATGATTGCTTATCACACAACACCAACAGCCTCCTTCCAACGCCCAAATCCACTACCGATGCACACTCACACTGTCATGATCTGACATATCAGAAACATTTTGGCACATGAGATTAGTTCCAAGAGTTTTGGTGGCAGGAGGAGCAACAGTTTCCCACTGTATGCCCAATATCTCCCCAAAGTCCACAACATTCAGCCCCACAGCCATAACCACCATTCAACAGTGGGGAAGGCCAGCCCTGAGTGGTTGTACAATCCTGTGCATTTGCGAACTGTGCCAACTGTGCGAACTGTGGTCTTTCTTGACTTGCTCATTACATGCCAATAGCAGACCAATTCTGCTGAGGCGGTGGCGATCCCACTGTGGCGACGAGCCGCCTCTGACAGTGTCGCTTTGCTTTGGCCGTCCCCTCAGCTGATGTCGTGCCAGCAATCACTGCCAATCACCACACTCAGGAATCACCCATGAGCCGGCGGACACAACGAAACATAGCAAACTGATCCTCAGTCCCCCGCGCCTTTCACTGCGCCCCCACACAGCCGGCGACTCCCTCGGCTCGTCACGCCGCCGTGGCGCACAGCGCGCCTCCGGCCAGCACACATGCCAGTCCCACGCACATGCGCCCCGGCCTATACGCCTGCCCCAGCCTCCAGTCCACGACGGCGTTCAGGGCCAGGGCAGTGGCGTTCGCCAGGGGCACCAGGAGCGAGAGGTCCGAGGCCGCAAGGAGCAGCGTGAACAGGATGGAGCCGGAGGCGTTGAGCAGCTGGGGTATCAAGAAGGCGGGGGTGCTGAGGAGGGCCGCCCACTGCGCCAGGGGGCCCACGCCGCCCGAAGGCCGGCGCGACTCCTCGGCGGCGGCCGTTCCCAGCTTGATCAGTGGGTTCGTGCAGCCCCACAGCGCGCCCACCAGCACGGCCCCCGCCACCGGGTGCGGGCCCAAGGGCACCATCCCGCGCTGCCCCTCCCGAGGTTACCGCCAACGATGACGTCCTTGGTATCCGTGCACTAGCTTTGATCGTGACAGCTCAAGCCGAGCTGACCGGATTTCGAACCGCTTGCATTCAACGAAATAACATTACTGCCTGCACCAAATCGGTGACTGCTTGCACCAAGTCACGTGCACACTTTGTCCTAACCTCAATTTTAGGGTTGGGTTTAGTTTCAGGGTGAGTTTTAGGGTTAGGGTTAGGGTTAGGACAGGTTTAGGTTTCGGTTTTAGGGTGTAGGTTTTAGGTTAGGTTAGTTTGGACGGAGTTGGACATGATGTGCACGTGACTTGGTGCAAGAAGTCACCGATTTGGTGCAGCCAGTAATTTTATGCCGCATTCAACTGCCTCTGACAACCTTGAGTACCATCTGGACAGTCCGCCCGACCCCACGATGCAGCGACGCCGGGTTAATCACAGGACCGCGCGTGTGCAACGTGTGCGGATGTCGTATCCACGCAGCTTCTTTTTCTTCTTCCTTTTTGCCTGAATTGAGGCAACTGTTGGAACGGTTGCGTTTCCCCAAATATAAGGTGCCTGCCCCCTTGAACTTCTGGGCAAAACAGTGCAGCTTGGGGTTCGGACCACAGACTTCGGTTTTGGGCTTCTCTTTAGGTCTTATGGGCTCTGATTGGGGATCGGCGATTGGGTTTGTGCACAATTTCGACAGGAGGACAGCTGTAATAAACGGATGTCAACGATCACAGACTTGCCACACGCCGGGTGCGGCTGCAGATGCTGAACACTCCTTCTTGCTAAACGCAGTCTTTCTCGTCTCCTGGAAGAGGTACTGCCCCATGAAGATATTGCTGCACCTGGCAGTTTTCTGGAACCACAATATTGGTCTGTGAGGTGAACTGGTTCTTAACTTCCAGCTGGAGTTTCTCCATATGCGCCCAAGACTGCTATGATGTCAGTAAACCAGAGTTGAGCACTAGTTGTGTTGCTGGGCAAAATGACCATTTCCGAAGTACAGCAGTGGAGGTCCAATTGCTGAAAGCGACAGTATGTACCACTGGGATGCTGAGCCCAGCTCCCTCAGCTGTATCTGAGCGACATAAATAGGGACGCCGGCCTGCATTCTTAAGCGACTTGAGCAACACTTGGGCATCTGTGTTTCATGTCGAAGTTCACTGGGGAAGGGGCCAAATGAAAACAAGCCAGACAACATGTTGCCATCAATGGCCGTGACGGTCGTTGCAACTGTAACAAAATCGCGTTGCTGAGCACCAGTGATGCAATGCATCGTTGCAGACGCGAAACAAGCCGCCTATTTATATGAGGAGTAGCAGTGTAGTTTTGGGCCCAGGGAAATCGTTGCCAGCTCTCAACGCACTGTTATTCATTCCATGGGATGCCTGTTTATTGTTCACTTGAAGCAAGAGGGCATTCTTCAGATACATAGGAAGACACTGTCTCCACTTAACTGCATGCTATGAATATTTATCCAGATATGCATGCCCCACATTGCTGTGGGCTTTTCCTCTTGCAAGCGTGCCTGGGAGACTTCTGGATCACCTTTACAGTGTGGGAGAAGGCCCTCCAAAAGCACTATCAAATCAATGGCAATTTTATGCAGAACCGCAGCCTGGCAGACTGCAATTGTCTGTGAAAGCTGTGTCAGCAATAAACTGCATATGAAAGTCCCTTTTCATAAAGAGCACTGCGAATACTTTGGCGTCTTTCAATCGCCACAAAGCAAATACTGTTGCTTGCAGCCCATGCACTACATTGGTTCCCTAACTACTACCTATTTCAGACCAAGAAAAAACGGGCAACCACCAGCAATATGCAGAATTCCTGGAATGTGAGCATGGGGGCATGCAGGATCAAAGGGCTGAATGCAGCACAGCCAGCCACACAGCAGCCATCAAGACCTCTGCAACAGGTGTCCTTTGCTGCCACTGGCCTGCAGCTCTGCCCCAAACGATGCCAGTACCAGGAATCCACAATCGCACAATCTGGAGCCCTTCCACTGAATGTCCCCAACAACCGCCCCACACACGGCACCAATGCTTATGGTTGAATGCGTCCTTGCGATGTGTCAGGGCCACAATGCAGTGACCAGCTAACCATCTCTGCCTGCCCATGGTATTTTACCAGATTTGAGACAGCTGCACATCTGTGTTTGCCCAGGACACTGCAAGCAAGTCTTTGGGTGATGCATTTTCCGCAGACTGTTTGAAAGTTGCCAGCCAAAAGAGTGACCAGCACAGAGAGACTGCCGCCAAATCTTCACACCTCCCCTTCAGACGTCATTCCACTCCTTTCGGTACTGCCACAACAAAAGCCTAGTCTGTCGATGTGTGTCACGGGAAACTCGAGCCAAGGAGTGTCAAGCTACCATGCCAGGTACAGCTGGTAATAGGTCCAAGCCAATGCAAGTCAATTGCTTAAAACTCGGATTAGATTAAGTGGTCTACAAACACCATGTGTTGGAGAATTTTCAAGCCACCACGATCAACGATGCTCTTTTGGGCAAATGGCAGTGGGAGCGATGGCCATTCTGGCCCCTGAACTATGACGTGCAAAAACACCTTCAACTGGGATAGTGCCAACCAGTCATCCAGAAGATGGTTTGATGCACCAACGATCGAACAGGGCTGTGCCAGAAACATGCAGCATTGAACTACACTGAAGACAAGGACCGTGCTGCGGGGCAATACGATGCCAGGATGTGCATCACTTTTCGCTGGGTGGAATGAGTTGTCTTGTCATGAATGTAGGTCTATTCCAGCTTTCAACTTTTTCTCTTTTCTATAACAACTGTCTGTACGTGCTTTAGACAGATGGCTAGCAGGTGAAACAAACATGTGAGGGCAGGCATTCTGGGTGCATACATGCCCCTCATCGGCAGCAAGGTGAAAGGGTGTCACTTTGTCATTTGCAGGTAAGCCTAAACACAGGGACTTAGCTGCCAGGAAAGTGGGGGTCACCCAGACGGAGTACAGCCAAGAGGAGGACAGGGACGCCTGGCTGCATATCTTGTTGCCACACGTGCTGCTCAGTTTTGTGTACTACCGTGTTGCACTTGGAATTGTCCACGTCTCTTGCAGTATGGATAAAGTTCGGCGAACGTGTATGTTCCCATGGCTGCCCATTGTCCAGCATGCTATCCTTTTGCCACAAACAACAATCGAATGCGATCCCATGCACAGCCATGCCCCTTTGCCCGTCTGGAGCCTGGTTGCCGTCTTCCAAAGCATTCGGCTCCGCCCACCATTTAGTCCGCATCCGCGCTGAGCACTCGAGCGGTCTCGAGCCACGCCAGGGCCGAATACCCCGCCCAAGCCCTGACAGAGAGGCTCGCGACTGGGTGACAGCGGGTTTTGGAAGTTGCCTTCAGTAGTTTCTGGGTAAGGCACGGAAGGAAATGCTGACCGGGTCGGATGGCCTCTGCCAGCGGTGCTCCCTACCTTGATTTCTCGCGCCTCCTGGCACAGCCCACAGGGAGAGCAGCACAGGTGCACGGTGCAGTCCCCGCAGGGCTCCTGCTTCAGCTTGTACTTCTTCCGCAGGTCGTGCCTGTACAGGCCCGCAATGCCTGGCCAGCACCAGTCCCTCCTGTCAAAGTCCCCCCCTGGACGGCTCCGCGGACACATCACAAAATCCGAATCCAAACCAGCGCCCAGCCTCAGCAGTGGACCATCAGGGACGGGGGAATCGCAGCGATGGCGTTGAGAAAAGCGCAGCTCGCGGTCAACGAATGCGATGCTTAGGTCATGGCGGGATGGGCCCAAAGGGGGCGCGGCGGGCCGGCGCACTCACAGCAAGAGCAGTAGAAGCAGAGGCAGTACGTCCAGCAGGGGCAGCACCAGCCCGTGCCCGTTGAGTTGCTGCCGACCCCCTGCTGCGACCGCTTGGAGATGGCGGAGACGTTGTCCGCGTAGAGGCACGCCGGGCAGAGCAGGCCCCACACGCCTGCAAGTCGATCGATAGCCGCGTGTCACAAAGAGCCAAGACAGGTGCCAATCGTGCCGCCGCTGCCATGCTGCGCGCCGCTGCAGTCGCCCCCATGCGCGGCGAGCACACCACCGGGTCGGACGGCCGGTGCCCGCACTCCGGGGTCACTCTTTCGATGCCGTGCGATCGCGGCCAGCAGGGTGGGGAATGGGAGGGAGGGGTCACTCACACAGGCCAGCGTCATCGAAGCATGCGCACAGCCCCGAGTGCCAGTCCTCCTCCTCGCTGCTCCCAGGCGGCATGTCTGCCCTCACGCGGCTTGCTGGGACCGGCGCCTTGCGCGTGTTGGGCCAGGAAGTGGAAGAGCCTTGGGGTGTTGGGAAACATGATGTCACTCGCCATCGGGCGCTGCGGTGTCGATGCCTGGCTTGGGCACCTGCCGGGAGGAAGCGGCGAAATAGGAGGCACGAAGCTGGTCGGACCTTGGGGGGCTAGCGCTGAGAACTAGTAGCGGGCTGGTGTGTAAAGCATCACCACTGGTACTGTACCTCTGTGTACGGTGTTGTATTGGCGTGAGAGGGGCGAAGCGCGACTTGAAAGTCCAGAAGTTCCAGCTACCGAGTTGGGTGCCAAAAGCCGCACAAATGAGTTGAAAGTGCAGTCACTGGAAGGCATTTGGAAATCATCGTCGGGGTGATTGCCGGAATCGGCAGGCGGATCATTAGAAATCTGATTCGCGCGTCTGAAGAGGATGCCAAAACGGATTGACAAGCGGTCGAGTGACTTGCTTGGGCATAAAATTACTCCCCGTTCTTGTTTGCTGAATTTCGGTTCTTGTTTTCGGACACCCTAAACCCCAACTACTGATCCACGCACCGGGACTGGCCTTGTCAGCAGAACAAGAACCGAAATTCAACAAACAAGAACGGGGAGTAATATATTCTCGACTTGCTTGTGTCTTGCTCTGTGTGCTTGCGCCCTCTCCCACGCAACCATTTGGGCTGGGCTGCAGATTGAGCACACACGCACCCGTCTAATGGCCCCGTACTGTACGGGCCGTACAGACAAACTTGCTCCAACACAGCTGCTAAAACAAATTCCACATACAATCCCCTATCGCTCATGCCAGGCGCAAGCCCTCTGCTTGAAGTAAGGCAGTGAGTGCAATGCCCCCCATCCAGCCCTCTCCACCCCGCATATATGAAGCTCCAAAGAATACGACTGCTGGCAGCTCTCTCAGTTGTACTTTGCCATAACCACGGTCTCAAAAGTCCAGCATCGGTCCATTGCCATTAGGCAAGTTTCAAACACGGTGCAACTGTACTGAAAGTGCGGAATTGGCACAATTGTTTTCATTCCTTGCTGAGCCCATGAGCTCCACTCAGCAGATGCATAGCCGATGTACAGACGATCCTCCAAATACTGTTGAATTGGCTGTGTTCTCAAGGATCATCTGAAACCATTCACCAACTGATGTTTTCTTCGAATCCATGGAAGCTGTGTAATCTCATACAAATTCCCCGGCACTAGTTCTTCCCCTGGAGAACTGTTCTGACTCAAAAACCTGCCTTTACCGTTCATACAGTGAGCAGACAAGGCTGTCGCCACTCTTGTTCCATCTTTTCGAAATGGATCAAAGCTTGCGACAAAATTTTTCACTATTTTTGTTAATTTTGAACAACCAGGAGAGTGGTATTCACCCAGAATTGTTGGGTTTTCAAGGTCAGATTTTTACTGGCTCTCGCTCTGTTTCCATTTAGCCAGGGGGTGTTGTCCACCTTTTAGTGATGCGCAGTGGCTGTCCATTTCAAGTTTCTGACTTGTTGCTCACGTTGTGGCGCCAGTCTCTGTTGCTATGGCCTGACAGCAGACTCGGTCCATGCCGTGTGGTAGTTCTTTATATCGAGTAGCAATAAAGCCATAGATGAGCAACAAGGACTCACTGTCCCAGGTTGCTTGAACACCATGGCCTCACAAATAATCGGTTGGTTAGCTGGCAGAATATTTGGTTGATATGATGGCAACAAAGGGATATTGTGCATTTTGCAGCCAAGAGTTGTGAGAAACCGACAATACATGGTGCACAGGCGCAAGGCACTGTGGTGGCCAAGTGGTGCCAGTGCAGCATGCAAGGATCGGGACTCCAGATGCTGGATTTTGTTTCTACATTTAGACGTTGGAAACCTTGAATGAAACATGATTAAGGACTCATACATAAGCTGACAAAACAAATCTGAGCTGAGACTCAGCAAGGCATACATAGACTGCAGAACTCCTGTCATGGGAGCAAAAGCTCTTCAGCATCACAGTTTACAGATGTGGCCTTATTTTTTGCTGGCATCGACAAACACCACTGGATCAGCTCCAACAACTGCGGCATAATGTGTGGCACCCTTGGGAACCTCCAGCATGTCTCCTGGCTGGAGGACAATCTGGAAGGCAAACAAAGGTGATTACTATTGGCGCCAACAACCGCGGCAGTACGAATCGGCGATCTTGAACTCAGCACTGCAAATGTACGGCACTTCTGGAACATTTTGCTGTGACCAGCATTGCCCATCAGGTACCATGGCAGCATTTTGTTATGTTCACAACGACTCCATTCAAAGCAAATTGCTGCAGCAAAACATTCAATGACAATTGGCAGCAAAGTTCACAGCTCCTTGGGCCAGTTGGGGGCGCTTGTAGACATTTGCCAATGCTCGCCCACGTGCAAATCAAAAGAATGACAGGTATGCCTCATAGCAGTTGTTGAGCTGCAGAAATGTGCAAGTTTCAGAGTGAAATACAGCAGAACTACTACATTGCTGAGGCTACACACAGGTCAACACCATTCAGGTGCGCCAACAACTTGCATTGGACGTAATCTTGGGCCTCAATCTTATTCTCGTGACCTGGGCAAACGTTGTACATGAGGATTTACGCCTCAAGCCAATGGCAATGGGGACAACACATTACGAACTGTGGCGTATTTCAAGAGCGGCACATCAGACGGTTCTGCAGCGCCGACCTCCTCTCCCTTCATTCGAAACAGCATCCTGCCGGAGACAATCGAGTCCTTCTTGTGGCACTGATGCGAATGATCGGGAAACACCGTCCCTGGGTTGAACGTGTAGAAGTTCGTCGTGTACCCCTGCTTTCTGAGCTTCTCAGCCACGGAAGCCTTGGATAGGCTCCCGTCACGGCGTTCATCCCACCTAAACAGCGACCCAATAGGCGTGATGGGTATCGAAGCAGCCAAATGGCTTTGCTAATAACAGCTCACCAAACTATCTTCCAATTGTAGGGATTTTCACCGAGTCCGAATTAGCAAAACCAAGCAAAACGGAGTATAAATAAAGAAAAGACAACATTAAGAGCAGAAAAGCGTGAGTACCAGAAGTTCAAGGGTGCGCCATCAGATGCCTGGCCTTCAAGCCACAGGCTGATCATCTTCCCCAAGCTGCGGCAGCAAAATGGTGGATTGCATGCCGCAAGGAACGACTTTTTGGGGAGGCACCAAGATGCTCCGCTTCGGCAGTGCAGCAGTGGGGGAGCGAGTCGATGGCCACACGCTCCGGGTACGGCTTACTTTGTTGGGAGACGCGGTGGTGCCCAGACCTGCCCTTGCAGATCCACAAGCCACCAATCCAAAGCACCGTCCGCGGATAAGTCGGCAATGCCCTTGTGAAATGGTGCGCTGCAAGCGAATTGCTGGGGGCAGTCAATTGACCGCTTGCAAGCAGTCTCTCAAACGGACACCCACACGTACTTTTCGACCTTCAATGCTGCTGTGGGCACCGGGCGCGGGCGGCTGCCGTCCTCGCGCAGTTTGTGCCCGTTCGTGGCGAGCGGCCTGCTCTGAAAGGGCCGAAGCATCGCCTCCTACAGCGCCCGGGGTCCCCGCAGTGCGTCAATCTGCACCCCTGGTGCTGGGTTGACATTGGAGAAGGTGGAGGTGTGGCGGGGGCAGACGCCGCGACGCTCAACTCCGAATGATTCCACCGCAATCAGACCATGACGCGATTGACGCGACATCCGGCCGCAGGTGGGTGGACTGGGAGGCCGCCCGCGGCGAGGTGTGACCTCCCAAGATGGCGCAAGGCCCGGCGGATTTGTCCAAACCAGCGCGCCCGTGCGCCCCGCGGAGCGAGTGCCCCCATCGCCGAGCCAGGCCCCCCACAGCACCTTGCTCGGCGCCCCCCCGCTCAACCCCTCCCCCGCCTCCAATCCCTGGGTTCTGCAGCGGGCCGCCTGCATCGGCGGCCCGTGGTCGACACCAGCACCGGTTGCGGTTGTGGCAGGGTCACACTGCCCGCCACAAGGCCCTCGCCTGTCAATCACACACACAGGGGCCCGGAGCGGAGACCCCGACGGCAGAGAGAGGAGCGCGGAGTGGAGATGGACGCCGATGGCCTGGGCCCGCCCGTTGACGACATGGAGCCTCTGGCGCCCCCGGCTGCAGCGAGCGACGCAGCCAATGGCACCGGCAATGAAGAGAATGGGACCGCCGTGGGCACGCTGAGCTACGTGGCATCGATGGTGTTCGCGCGGAAGCCCGTGGAACTGTACCGCGCGATGACGGTCTCGCGGCGCGGAACCATGGAGGGCGGGACGGGCGAGCTGGAGCCGGCCGCGGCCCCACAGGGGCTGGAGCCATCGCGGGACGTCGAGCAGCAGGGTGTGGCCAGCCCCGCAGCCGCCAAGTAAGCCCGAGGACCGGGGACGTCGGGCTTGATGCACGGATTTCTTGGGCTCGAAAATTTCTGGGCGGGGCGACGGCGACGGCAGGGCGGGCTTGTCCTTCGCGCGCTTGCGGGGCGTCGCATGGCGTTGCGCGGCCGCCGCGTTGCGCTGGGAGACTTGATTTTGAACTGCGAGGCAGGATAGGTACTCGGACGTTTCTCTAGGTGATGCCCCGTGCATGCCTCCCCACCCCCTCTTGCCCCCACGGTCGTCGAGCAGTCCATCGATGGCTGGGCGCGTTTTGGCTTCATTCAGTGGTGTTCGCGCCCCCAGGTTTCAGAAGGCCGGCAACCGGGTACTTTCGATGCTGTCGTTCCGGCGGCACGCGAGGGCCCTGGGGGACTCCAGCGTGCGGGGGGCGGACCGCCTGGCGCACGTCGTCGCGCTGGAGGCCAAGCTGGCGCACCACCCCAGGAAGGACCAGATCCTAATGCAGCTGAAGAAATGGCAACACCGAGACTACAAGAGTGAGGGGCCGGGGCAATGGGAGGCACCAGCGGGGGGGAGGCATGCTTCGGTTGTCGAGTGAAAAGTGGCATTGAATGGGCGTGGAGTTGAGTGGACAAGGCTGTGACAGCAGGCACAGTGTCAGGTGTTAAGCCGAACCAGTGCAGCAGAAATGTACACCTTCAAGCGTCCTGAAGCTTGAGAACATGCCAACTGTGTGCTTTCTACCACCTTTTCATTGAATGGCTGGACCCTGACAAGATGTTTCACTCCCCGATTGGCAGGTTTTGGAGACCGCATGGCCAACGAGCTGTTCGTACTTGGGGAGAGAATATTTCTTCTGTAAGTTGATAAGAAGGGTCTTGCCTTGGTGGAGTGTAGCTGCACACTGATGCATGCTGCTGTTGGATGCAGTACTACCATCCTCAATTGGATCTCATGCACACTTGAATGCACACTTGAGGGTTGATGACGAGCATAAATGGCCCTCAATAGTGTTGCAGTCAGTGTACTAGTGCATCACCAAGACTTGCGTCAGATTCTGAATGTTAGTCATCCCATCTAATGTGCCTACTCCACTGGTCAGAACTTAATAGGGGCTTCCATATTCAAGCTTTTCTTGGTATTAGAGCATTCGCCAGTTTTGTGCCAGCACATCTCTGAGGTTTGCTTCACCAAAATCCACACGCTTTCAGGCCTGTGAGTTGCACAGTCAGCATCAACCTGTGTTGTTGCTGGCATGCTCATGGGTAGCAGCCTGTGTCTGCAGAAGGCAGTGTTGAATGCATGTGGGTGTAGAACATGCGAGTTGTGCATGACAAGGGTGACAATTGCCAGTGCCACAAGCGTATGAAGACAACAGGAGCTTTCAGCACATGAACACCGACTGAAGCACTGAAATCAAAGTACCATCACTAGACTGCTGATTGCCAGGTGGTGCACTCTGTGACATGCAGTTTTACCCCGAAGGAACTGAACAACCACGATCTCATCTACACCTGGATATTTTTTTTGTTCCTTGTTGTGCCCTTCTTCTACATGGCTGGAGAATTTCCACGGTGGCTGGACCAGCCCAACTTGACTATGGTAGGGGCTGCTTGAAAATCTGACATTGTGAAAGAATGGACGTTTTGAACGATTGCCCTGTTTGTATTTTGCTTTGAGTTCTTTTGTCGACGTAATCAAATCACACCCAGGCACTTACAAAGGGATGAAGTCTGATTCTGGGGAATGATCCAGACTGTACGAATACCTCTGTCTTGTGCTTTGTCAAAGCTGCCAAACACGATCCTTTGACCAATTAGACGATGACAAGCTGGCACGACAGTTGGCATGCAACTATCTCATAGAAAGCAACAGGTACGCAATGGGCAACCTTCCTGAATATAGCGTTCACAGACTCTCTCCTGTATTCCAGCAGAATGTGCAGAAGTCTCTAAGAGCTGAGGTGGTAGTGGACCACTCTCAGCAAGAAACAAGAAAACAGAATCGCAGTCCCACAGTATGCATTTGCCAGACATTTCAGAAATGTATCCCAAGAAAGCTTGAGAAGATTGATGTCTGCAATGGCTGCATTCGATTTTCGTTAATGAAAGCAACATTCACTCCATTTCAGTCGTGTAATGTGTTTGGATGCTTGCACACATCTTCTTTGATACAACAGTCTGAAATGTGATTGATTTGGGTGGCAGAGCTGCATGTGCACCCTGCTCGTGCTGCTACAACACAGTTGGCAGTTCGTTTTTCCTCAGACAGTGTGGTTGTCAGCTTCCCCATTTTTGCAAAGCCCGCAGTCAACTACCCCACCACCATCTTCAGAATGCCCACATCAGCGGGCCCTCTCCGCCTCATCCTCAACTGTCACGATTCTGCAGGGATTTCTTGTTCAATTTTTGAAATACTGCAACCAAACACAGAAGCCTGGGTTTATTCTGTGCGGAATGCTGCTGTCAAATGCGCTCCTCCCTTGTATTCCCAATGGTGTTGAATTCACACACCTTACCCAGTAACAACTTGCACCATCGATGGCTAAATGGGCCTGTGCACCCAACCTGTCACATGTGCCACAAACCAAACTGCAAAAAGAAATGTATTGCAGGTGCCGGTTTGTTCTTCAAATTGTTGCCTGTTCTCATGCCAGTGGATTGCAACGGCAGGACCTGGAACTCGTTCGAGACAACCTGCGCAAACTCGGGCCTGATGCACTCATCCGCTGGATCTTCAATCGAGGCGACAGATTCCAGTTCGCATCCAATTATCTCATACTTTGGGGTGGAAGATATATTCCAGATATGGAGCGCGGGGCGGATGTGTACCGATGGATAACGTCCCTGTTGATCCACCAGGACTTCGCCCACCTTCTCAACAACTCGATCATTTTCCTCCTGTTCTCCACGCACCTCGAGCACAAGTATGGCACAATGTGAGTGAACCATGATGCGCCGCCCCCCACCCCCACCCCCACCCCCACCCCCACCCCCACCCCCACACCCCACCCCCCACCCCACCACTGCCTTCCATTGCCTCCTCCTTTCGCTCTTTGTGATCAAGCACACTGGTAGAAAAGTGCCTGTTTGTGATGGCACCTGCGATGCCATTTTGACACAAATTGATGCCGTCACAGTGAGTGCGATGGCATAAAAGGGGCTGTGATGGAATCAATTTGTGTCAAAATGGCATCGCAGGTGCCATCGCAAACAGGCTGTTTTCTACTGGTGGCAGTTGCTATGCTGCAACGCTATTATACCCTGGCCATCTTGTGGTGCACATTATAGTCAGCACTGTTGGCAGGATCCGAGACAGTGCAGGAGGGGACAGCGATCCTGCCAGTTATCCCTTAAAAGACCGTGAAGACGTCTAGTATCTTTGTGTTGGGTCTGGAAGCCATTGCCCAAGGGCTCAGGCACACAGCGAATGTCAAGACTTGGCTGGCCGTTGCCAAGTCAAATGCAAGGATTGGGGTACGTTCGCGGCATTTGGCTGCGTGGTCTGGTCCAATATATGGATTTCATATGTGTCACAAATTGGACAGGGACGATGATTGGTTTTTGCTGAATGCTGATAGCAGTGATTGAGTGGTTGCTCTGCGCAATTTCTACTAAGGCATGCATGTGCTTTGGCCACTTCTCAGATTCTTCTCCACTGTGGTCAGCTCACTCTTGGCCAAGGGTCTGCAGGACAGGGGCCAACAAACCTTGAATTGAAATCATGCCTTTCAGAAGTATCTAGATGACATTCGTGAAACTGTCGTTCTACGAAGAACCCCACGTCGTATGTGGGAAGTGTTGTGCTACAGCGAGCGCGTTGTATTATATGTGAACAACTTGCTAGATGTTGGGAATTTGCTCCTTTGGCCAGCGGTTCTAAATTTCATGTGCTGGCATGCACAGACGAATAGGGGCACTGTCCTTCTTTGCTGGAATAGGTGGAAATTTGCTGAGTGCGGCGTTTGAAGTGAGTTTGAAATTTGACGGCTGCTTTTTTTATCTTCATGACCACTCTGACTTTTGGACTGACTTTTTGCACCTTGTTAGTGATCTGTGGTTATTGCGACGGAGAAATTAAATCATCCTCTCAGCAGTGCTAGACATCGGTGATGTCGTCTCTCCAGCAGCGCACGGCGACAACATCACAATTATGTGTGGCTGTTGCATACGTTGTTTTCTTCCTTTTTTTAAGCACCATGTTTTTATCATCTATGTGGGGCTAAATGCACGTTTGATGAGTGCTTACGGCCAGCACGCTTCTGCCTGTTGCTCCCTGGTCTGGAAAAAGAACTGCAATCCATTGAATTAACTTGTACAGTAAAATCAGTTATTGACCCGGCCCAATGGAAAACAAACTCTTTCTAAAGTACAGCAAGCCATTGTCCTCTGACTTGAACGGTGGCGATGAGCATGAAACGTCCCTTCCTAAATGCATGTTCAAGAACATTATTTTACATATTTGATTACTTTGTTATTCGTGTTATTGTCAGCCAGTAATTCCTTGGTAGGGACTATTCGGGAGGAGTGCTGACAGATGGGAGATGTGTCTGCCATTCAGAACGTTTGCGCTGTGGTGGTGGGTGCGAGCGGATGCTGCTTTGGTCTGCTGGGGCTGTTCGTGGCAGACATGGTGCTGAACTTCGAGCAGGTCACTTTTCCAATCTTGAGAATTTTCTTCTTGCTGCTCATGCTGGCGATGACCTTTATCACGCTTTTCCAGGAGGTGAGTGGCAACAAAGCGCAAAATCCACAGAGTCTTGGTATCCATCAGTGGCCTGCTTCTAAAGGTTGGCACATGTTCACAATGTATAGAAAAGGAGCATGATATCTGCACAGGCGGATTGCGGGCTTATGTGGCAGAAATTTGTGCCCACGTATTCTGATCTTCCGGCTTTTGGTCTAGTGCTCGTTACTCGTCGATCTTGCTTCATGTTTACTGATTATACTTCATGTGGAGGCAATGCAGTACTAATGGCTGATCATGGGTGCTTCCAGAGCAGAGCATGCTTACTATTGAATGCCGCTATCTTTCAGATGGCCAAATTTGATAAGTTAGTTACATGGCTTGGTGGGCTCTCATCATTTGACCAACAGGCCACACCATGCGCTGTAGAACATAGCTTGCAAGCTGAGAAACGGGTTAAGCGACATCAGGGCAAGGAGATGAATAGTATGCCATAAGCACAGGGGAAAAAGGAATTTCACTGTCTGTGGTTGGCCACCCTGGCCCACATTGGTCCACCATTATGCTGGAGCCTTTGTCAAGAAGCGCACCAGCACAGAGCGCTCCTGGAAGGAAAGCAAAACATGCAAAAGAGTCCTGTGGAAGTGCTGCACGAGACCGAGGCTTTGTTGTTGTGATGGATCTCTACGGCCTTGGCTCGACACTGTTAGTGTGAAGCGACCTAATATGTATTTGACTGGCAATTGGCCTGCTCTGCCGTGACAGTACACTGTTTGGGCACCCGAACCAACTTCAATTCCACGCTGTAGTGCAGTGTGGTGGAATAAAACACAGTATATACAGCCTAATTGCAGAGTGTGCTGGACGCCAGGGGAACACATCCCACCTTTCACATGCTGGTGGATTTTTGGCTGGCCTGTTTCCGAGCTTTGTGTTTCTGCCCAATCTCCATCAAGCAAAGTGGGAGGCGATTTTGCCTTACCTCGGTAGGGGCACGGGCTGCGATCAGTGTGCTGCTTTCTTGGGCGGGGTTTGCGCCTGTGAATGACTAGTTTCCACTTTCTGTGGTGGCACCTGTCCAACACCCAGACGAAAACGTCACCTGACTTGAGTCTTGCGTCACATCTCATGGCTATCGTTGCAAGGGATGTGTGTGCAGCTGCAAAGGCGCATCACTGCAACCTTTGCTTTGTGAAAATTGCATGGAGCACATGGTGGCCACATTGGTTCCTTTTGATTAGGGGTGCATGGATGCCAAACTTCTTATTTTCATCCGCGCCACTGTTCCCTCTAGCAGATATCCAGAACTTGGCGCTTCTAGCAGAGAACTGTCTGAGGGGATAGACTGGCGCAATTGCTTCACCAGGTACTGGACGCCATGGAACAGACGTCAGCGATATGCCCATGCACGCTGTGAAAGTCTCTTGTGCACTATTGTGGAGCCGACCGCGTTGATGCGGCCGTGTACAGCACAGGCTTGTAAGACAGCAGTCTGCCGGTTAATGAAGCGCGGGCAAAGCAGAAATTGCACTGCGGGCTATCATGGCCTTGTCTGTGCTGGTGACAGTCCTTTACGAAGAGGGCGTCCCCGCTCCCACCGCCCTGCGGATCCAACAGACGTGCTGTCAGTGTTCAAACCACAGCCACGGCTGGGCGACGAGCCTTGCGTTTCATTGGCCTTTGATGCATTGAGCAGGGCACGGCCCATTGTTGCGCGTTGTGTGCTCACTCAACGTCGCCTTATCGCAGGGTTTGCGAGCATGCTGTTCTTCTACCTGGTCCTTCCCATCTACGTCTACTCCGACATCATACCGAACAACAACTGCTGACGTGGGCGTTGAGGGCCGCATCCCGTGCATGGACGAGGATCTCAACGCGATGACACGGGCGCTGTTTCTGTCGTTGCTTCTCGGGGTGCAGGTGGCGAATCCCCGTACTGGGCTGTTGGCGGACGGGAGCGGTGGTGGTGAGCGCATTCGACTGCACAATGAGCATGTTCTTATCGGAAGTGCAAGCGAATGATTGCATCCCCGATTCACGCAGAAGGCAAAATTGGGTGCGTCATCTTGCTCTGCATTGGTATTCTGTTTCGGCAACTGGTGGTTGTGTGCGGCGAGGGGCTTTGAAGAGGACGACGAACGTGCGTGCTAGGGTCTCCTTGCTTCAGCCGATCAAGAGGAGGCAGGAGGCACAAGGGTTCATAGGTATGCGTGTGACTACTGTAAAATTGCTGTGTTCAGGATGTGTGCCGCATTACACAAGGGTCACAGACGTGGCCCTTTGAATGGGTTTTGGAGGACTTGCCTGTGCAACTAATGGCGCAGGTGGCGGGTAGATGTAGCTCCAACTAATGCTGTGGGTAGTATTGAACTTCGCAGAAGGGGTTGACTCTTTGACTAGGTTAGTGCTGCGGAGTGAAATGCTCTGAATGCCTGTCTCTTTTGAATGGCGACGTGCGGCACGTGATGCCTTTCGCAGCTGTAAAGAACGTTTGCACGCATTGGAGGACGAGGGGCAGCGACGCATACACGTCACACCACAGTTTCACACTGGTACATATTCGCAGGTGAAAGCTGACAAGGGGCACCTCCAATACCCACCCTCCTTAACCGGCGTTCATCCTGTCGCTCACGTGCCAACCCACTGGGCATTCAAACACACGTTGTGTCTACACTGCATTTACGTGATCCGCGCCGGTGGCGTCGCCAAGTCGAAAAAGGGGACAAGCGCTTCTGTCGAAAACGGCACAAAATGCAGGATTTAGACTACTCGAATCGAACCGTTTGCACACACGGTGCGCCGCCGACGTACAAACCTCAGCGAGGTGGGCAGGAACCACGCCAGGGTACGTCGCCACCCCGCGACAGGCCGTGCAACATCAGAGCTCCCGCTCGTCGACCTGTGCACACCAAGACCTCCAGCTGCCTTTTGCAGGTGGCCAAAGGGGGGCCAGAGGCTCTGCTGGCAGGCGCCTTCTTCTCTCGCACACAAACGAGGTCCTTGCACTCATGGCGATGACGGCCACCCTCCACGCGGAGGGTCTGTTCTCAACATGGGTATGCTTGTGCCAAGCGGCCTGCCCGTGCGCGACTCGCTGGATTTGGGATGGTGGACGTTTCCGTCCAGGCACTAAGCCCCGTCTCCACCGCGCCCACAACGTCCAGGTCACCGCAGGTTCTCCCACGCACTCCTCTCATGTATCACCGGGTGCTCACGGCACATGAGGCCGCGCCTCCGTAACCCGGTGCCCAGCGCGGCCAGGCAGCGGCCAGGCAGCGCAATGGCGCACCAGCTCAGTGGGCAGACCTGTCCCCAAACCGTACCTCACGGCATCGATGTATACGTCGTATACGTCGTACCGCTGTACGGCACGACTTATCCACTCACAGAAATTTGCCATGGCACAGGACAGCGGTACTTGCCCCATCCACAAGTCATCACGATGGGCTGAAGATCCGCCATTCGGCACCCCATATGGCCACCACACGGCCGCAACTTCTTCATTCCGGTACGATGGGCACGGATTGAGGTTGCGAGGAGCAGCGCTGGTTGGCACTTGGCACGCACTCGTCCGTGGACGCACACAGGCACGGGAGACACCCCCCAGAAGATGGCTCACTCAATGCATCCTGCGCCGACTGCGCAGCAATGCTCTGGACGCCAGGTCGTCCTCTGTCACTCATTGCCACCACCTTCGCCATGCCTGTACACAAAGCACACCACGTATGTCGTATCTGGTATCATGCAACGCGCTCACAAAAATGACAACTGAAGCGTTGATCGCCACTGGGTCTCTCCAGTACCGAGAGGTGTATTGCTCAAAGCGTGTGTCGCTTGCTTTCGTTCGATCATTGTACTGTGGTGCCGCGGCGCGGCTGTGAATTAGCACAGAACAGCAACCGTGCATCAGAGCATCAGGACGAGCGGCCTACCATGTTCGTGCTTCAGATTCACACCGTTTCAGTATTCGTCGGTCTCTTTTCTGATCTTCGAAAACATATCGGGTGTTTGTTGCCAAGAACACCCGCCACTGCCTACAGGCACAAACCGGTGACCGGGGCGGGGACGAGAGCGGCCAATGCGCGCTCAGCATATTGGCAGTTGCGGTACGGCAAGGACGCAGTGTTGGCAGATTCGACAACATCAAATGGACAGTCATCGTCACCAACAGGTCCTACATATCAAGGTTAGGAGGTGACCGTCAGCTTCCTATTAGAGAACACTTTGCGCCGGAGACTGCACAACGCACGAATGACTTAAAAACGCTTGACGGAGGCGGCAACGATGTGCGCAGGCTAAGACCAACGAGTTCACACGGTCTCTCAAATGCGTCCGTCGGCGTCGATGTCTACAAGAAGTGTTTCGCTTTCTGCTGCTTCTCTGGATCGCTCTGCTCTGCCCAGTCACAATTATGTCCCCGGTCCCGCCGCCCCCCGCGCCAACGCCAGCCAATGCACATGCGCCACAGCGCAACCGCCAGATTCACGATGCCCTGCTCTTGGCATTGTGCACATCGCCACCGCCAGCACCTCGGGCGCAATCCATCGAAGCGCTGAAAACCCGAGCACACACAGCCAACGACACACCAACTCCCGCCACGCCCGCCCGCCCCCCCCCCCGGCGCCAGTCACTCCACACCATGCCACCCCGCAACCAGAAAGAAAGATAATGACGAAAAAGATCCTCCAATTAAATTAGAGCACAAAAGTCACGGCAGGCAGTGTTTTGTGGCCCAGCGCACAGCACCCCACTCGGAGAACGCGCACCATAAAAGAAAATAATACTGGCCCTGCCTACACAGTGCTTCCCTCAAAACCCCAGCTCTCGATGAACACCAACCAGACATGCCCGAGTTCTTATTTCCTGTTGAAATCGAACCTGCATGTCTCGAGAGACAAGAAATTGGTAACCGGCTGCAGCATCCAGTGAGAGCTGTTGACCGCAAATTCCTTATTTTTTGGAATTCTGCATTCCTGCGAGCCAATTCTCGCCCTCGGCACTGCTCTTAGTATCCCCCCAGTTTTTCCACATTCATTTCCTTCGGAAGGAGCCCTTCCACTGACTAATGGAGGCTGGATCTAGGAGCCTTCGTTGCCGTCGTAAAAGAGGCCCCCGTTCCGCTCCATGCAATGAAATAGCCGAATATGGCAAATCTCGGCCCTCCTACTGCACCCGCAGAAATATGCGGATTCTATGACCAACTTGATGAGGCAGATCACCACAACCACGGATTGAATTATGTGTTTCCAGTTGAGTTCTTGGAATCGCTTCTCATGACTATCTTCTCAGCCGCAGTCCAAAATTCCATCGGATCTCTCACTTCGCACAGAGCCCACCCAAATGGGCTTGTGCATGCCTTTATCAGTTGATCTTTCTAAAGCAGCTTGTGACGCACCACACAAGTTGGCATCCCACCACCCTGCAACCCATCACAAATTCCAGCACCCAGCCATGACGCAATGTGGCAGCGCGGCAGTCCCCTCGTTCCCGGCCCGCGAACAACTGTGAAGGAACGGGGGCAGTGAGCACTGCATTGCAAGCCAGCGCTGATCAAGCGGCATCATGCCAATATCGATTGCCAGATGCACCTGGCAAGTTCACCTATAAGAGTGCTACCAGTTCTCCCCTGCGGCACAAAGCCGGATTTCACAAGTCACCAATACGTTCAGTATGGTGCAAAACGGTGGGGCTTGAGAACCTGAGGACCAAATGTTGTGTCATAGCCCTGCAAGTATGGTGGCATGGCGCCCATTGGGTAGCCGCCCATTTGGTAGCCTCCAATGTGGCTCCCCATGGCGGCCATTTCGCTCATGGCCGTGCCCCCGTATGCTACCAAGGGACCATAGCCAGCCCTTGTGCTACCCATGCTCATGGGCATGCCAAAGCCTCCTGGCATTGGCATCTGGTCCTTTGGAACGGCACGCCGCAGGTCCACCTTTCGGCCATTCAGTTCATGGTGCAGCACGAGGCATTTCTCCACGGACATTTCATTGCTGAATGTCACAAAACCAAAGCCTCTCGATGCCCCATCTGCTCGCCTGACAATCTGCAGTGCAGCAAACATGCTACCAACTTGTAATATCGGCAATGGAATCAAGCACAGCGTCATCATATTCCTCCCCTGGACGCAAGGGAGAGCGTACTCAACAGGCATGTGCATTGCTGACGGAGTGCTTGACTGAGTCAAGCAACAGCAACTCTGCAGGTCAATGTGTTGAATGCCAGTGCTTTTGAGTTAGCAAGAGGCACACAATAGTGGAATAGCGGTGCTAGCCTACCGCTGCGTCCTGAATCTCCCCAAAACGCTCAAAATGCAGCCTGAAGTCTTCGTCTGACAATTCTCCCTGCAAGTCGATGATAAGGTCAGGTAAGAGGTTTCCAACATTGTGACCTCAACTAGGACAGTCACCTCAAGACCAAAGCATTGCAGACGTCTCAACAAATGGATCATGCAGGACATCCACAAAAATATCGACAGGCTATGTCATGACTGTCCGCATTGTTGCCAATCTACTTCTCGTCAGATCAGGCATGCAAATGCAAAGGTGGCATATCCAGGTCTCACAGGCAAAGCGGCAAAACTGAAGATTGCTTATTTGCAAGAATGTTTGTTGACAAAGAAAAGCAGCCAGCACTGCAGTGTAAACACTCTGTTGCTCTCACCGTTCCCCCCACAAAGAGTTTCTTCGTCAAGTTGCTCGATCCCCCCGTGCCCTTGGGCACAGCAGCTTTCGCCTCAACACCCTTTCCATCGATAACGTGACTGCGATGCTGCACAAAAAGACAGCGCTCATGCTCGCCATGAAAGATCCTCCTCAATGTTGTGGAGATGGTGGTGGGGAAGCGACCCCGAATTACAACTTCCTTTCCAGTCATATGTGGTAAGTGCGGACCCAAAAACCTCTGCTACAAGCGCTCTGGCAAACAAGAGCTGCACAGCGGCAAAGCTGCACAACTGCACAGCAGCGTGCAGCCCAGCGTCAAAGGGGATGAACACGACGGTCGAACGACAGTCTTCTCATCAATGGAGTATGTTGCCACGACAAAACAAAATGCCCAACCCAGTGGAATGATCCCACTGCAGCGGGAAGCGCCGCAGCGACCATCCCACTGCAGTTGCTCCACGAGTGGCCCCACGGCCCCAAGTAACAACCCTGCAGACGCCCCACCGCTCATACCTCCAAGAAGTTCTGAGCGTTCCTCGGATCCTCAAAAGTGACAAAACCAAACCCTCGCCCCTCCATCACCACGGCGTCGATTAGTTCCCCCCTGCGCCCATCCCACACCACGCAGCCGGTCAATCCTCTGCACGCAACCTCCACCCAACAACCGCGCTCGCGCTCGCCCCGCAGCCCCACCCCAGAAACCAACCGTGTCCCGCGCAGATCAAAAAATGCGCCCCGGCGCCCATGGGTCAGGGCTTCAATGCCGCGCCGCGGCAGGGACCAATCGCTGGCGCAACGGCCGGCAGCATCGATTGCCGACTCCCGGGCGGCCCGCCGGCCGCGGCGCCCCGCCCCAAGCCTGATGCCAAGCCCAGCCGACGCCCGTCGTACCATCGGCAGCAATACATCGTCAGCGACTCCTTCGTCGTGGTGCTGTCCAGCCCTCCGAGGAACAGTTTCCCCTCCGTGAAGGTCGCCGCACGCCCGCCGCCCGCCGGTGCCCCACGGCCGCCCGGCCTCGCCGGGAAGCCGCCAGCAGGCCGCCCGTACCAGCCCGCATCGCCGCCCATAGCCCCGAGCCTCAATCCCCCTGCGGCGCCCATCGGTCGGCCCATGCCCATGTCGACGGCCATCCCCATCCCGTCGGTGCGGACCCACCCTCCGTGCCCGCCGTACATCGCGCACACCTGCGAGTTCGGCCGCGGTGCATCAATTCCATCCAGGCCTGCAGCTTGAGCCGTCGGCCTGATCGCCCGTGTGCCGTCCCGGAGCACGGACGCGACTAGATCGTCGAACCGGCCCGGCGAACATGGAGGGGGAAAAGAAACTGATCGCGAAGGACTGAGGAAGAAGGGCATCGGGGAGGCGCCCGGGAAGGCAGCGGCGGCGGGGGGGGCCGACACGGACAGAGCGGCGCCGAGGGCGTCGAGTGGCGGGGAAGGGCCACGGGCCCCGTGCAGCCCGTGACAGCGCGCCGAGAGTGGAATGGTCCCCCCTACCGCGCGGCAGGATCCTTGTGACAGCGACGAGGTGGCCGAGCGAACGTACGCGACGGGGAGAGCCCCCGCGGGCGATCCGATCGCTGCGTCCCGACGCTGCGCGAAGAGGGAGCCGCGACGGCCGCAACAGCTGCGGCCCCTCCGGCGAGCCGGCGTCGGGGCGGCGACGGCATAATTTTCTTCGCGGCACGGGCTCGCGAAGGATTCTGGGGCTGATGCGGGGAGCGGGGGGCGTCGCCCGGCCAGAACGGCGCGCCGCGGGTGCGGTACGGGCCGTGTCGCGGCACTGCTCGCGCCGCGGGCGAGCGGCCGGACACCAAAATGCCTACCTGGCGCGCGAGCGCCGGCGCCTCGCCCGGCGATCGACGCCCGCGGATCGGCGCGTGTCGACAGCCCGGGGATGCCGCCGGTCGTGCCGCCTGTCGCTGCTCGCCTCCGAGTTGCGTGGTCGGTGGATGGGGGGGGGCGGGGGGGGGGGCCGTGGCGGGACGATCACACTCCTTGGGAATTCGCCTCGCGGGCTTCGGCTATACATTCCCTCACTCGCCCTCCGACAAGCGCCCCACCTGGCGCCCCGTGTGAAGGCCCGCGTCTGTGTGACACGAGGATGACAAAGGGCGTGAACTTGCCCCGTCACCGGCACGTGTACAGGTGTGGAGCAGCCAACATAAGTCGACATGAGGCAACCACGTTATAGTTGCCGGGAAGGCGGCGCGTCGCGATGCGACAGCGAGCTGCGCCCGCCTCCCGCACGCGCGGGAGTAGGACGTGATCCGTGCGTAGTTGCTGGACAGGCACAGCCTTTGGCTCGACGGTGATACGCTAAGCTGGGGGTGGGACTGAGTCTGAGACAGGCACGACCATGAGCTTGGAGACACAGCTAAGGGAACAGAGCTACAAAGAGATCGCCGACAGGCGTGTCCCTTTGTGGTCATACAACCACCTGTTGATCGCGGACTGGTTTCTGCCATATCAACGGGTGCCTGGGGCGGCCCTGGTGGGAGTGCGTCTGAGCAGCGGGCAGGTGTTCGATCTGCGGCACTGCGCTCCTGGCCCAAAGAGGTTTTGGGGCGGCACAGAAACCGGGTTTGAGGGCGAAAATGTCACTACTGTGGAGGGGAGCGGAGCACGTTGGATGATCCAGCCTGATCGGCAACAATCGCGGACGAGGGCCAGCACAGCGGCCTTGGGCGGAAACCGAGCACGAGGTGGCGAACGTTGACACACGGTGTGAGGCCCATTGGGACATGTTCACGCGCGCTTAGGCGAGCGCCATACATTGGCTCGGCCATCGGCATGCCTGCTTCGCATAACGCTTGAGCGACACTGCATTGAGACCACTCGCACGATCTCTGATCGACGGTGGCACTTGGAGGTGGCACACTGTGACGTTGCCGCCAGTTGCTCCTCGGATGACGACCACTACCTACGCAGGCATCCCTCGTATATGGCTCCTCCCACCACTCTCACAAGATGCATCACCATCTGTTGGCGGACGTGACGTGGCCTTCGCTCCAGCGGCGCCATTCCACCACAGCCGACGCGAGGACCCTCCCTGATCCAGAAGCCAGGTCGAGGATTGGAAATCGCCGCCACCCTTGTTTGCATTGGTCGCCGACGAGCACCAATGAATACAAATGAACACCAACGATTGGCTTGACGGCGCCACCGAAGCTCGACGCTTAGTAAGCGTCGCCTCTAATAGTTACAAATGTTTGGACTGATGCACATCAGTGTTGGCGATGCTTGCGTGCCCAGCAACGTTGCGGCTGCTCCCATGCACGGACAGCCAGGCTGGGTTGGCGATAGGATCGCCGCTTTTCAGTGTTGGCATGAGGGCGTTGCTGCAGTGTTGCTCGGTGCCACGGGTGTCTCCGCGCCGATATCGGTGTCGATATCCGTGTCGATGCCAATGCAGCTGAAATTGTCCTTCGCCACATGTTTACTCGTTCCCACTTGTTTTGTGACACGTGTCAACGTGTGGGACTTGTCCCAGTCAATTTCCAGCCGCGACATTTGTGTTCGCGCACAAGAGGCGATCTCGTAACGTGCCATCATTCAAATTGTTCGCAAGAACGAACAACAGTCGATTTACCTAGTAAAACAGTTCGGTGCTGCCTTCTGTGTCGATATGCCACACTTGACACAGGGAATCGACGCCAAGCTCAGCTTCTTCCTCTCATTGCTAGCATCAATGCGAGCAGCACCGTGCAGCAGTTCTTGAAAGTGCGACGAAACACACAGCATAGCACAGGGAGCGTGGACACTCAACCGGTAGCTCCGAGAGGATTGCACACAAATTGCACATCGGGAATTGTGCCGCGAGGCTCTTGGATGGGCTGGAGCAAATCCCTGAGTGTTTTGGGCCACTCCTAGTAGCTCAAAGCTCACCCGGATTCCGTGGCGACGGCCAATTGGCAGTTGCCGTCGCAACGGCAGGTATGCAGCATGGGGGGGCCGGATGCCTGCTGCGATTCCATCAGCTAAACCTCTTCACTAAAAGCGATATATGGCATGCTCCACCATCAGCTTGCAGCCACCATCAGCGCTGTGGCGCACATGCTTATGTACACCACAGTATACGGCACAGACATCGCCGTATGCGGTCGAAATCAGGCCGCGGAGGACGTAAATTACCTCTGTAGCTCCCAACACTAATTTGTTTTACGGTTACTATGAGTATGAGTAGTCTAACAATGCTATATAGTAATGCAATTAGTATAAAGCGAAAGCGCCTATCTGGGCTGCAGGCGGCGCGGCCCATTGGAGGCGTACGCTTCCGCACGCGCATGAGGCGTGCCGGTAGTCCGAGCCAGCGAGGTCGGTTGTCTGTCTTCAACGCCGCTGCAAGCGACAAACGGAATCGCAATGTGAGGCTTTACATCGCCCTGAATCTCTTGCTGGGTGGCAGAAGCCCGCATACCTTGCAAATAGGACGGTGGAGGCACCTGGGCACTGAAATGTGATGTAACATCCGGAAAAACGTTGGTATCGGCGATTCCAGTGGACTCCACTTCCGACCCCTTCTGATGAACCTCGTACTTGGGATTTGGGCCCCGCGGACTCCTTGGCTGGCTAGGGTCGTGAGGCGGAGCGTGAAGAGTTTGATGGCGAGTGAGGCGCTGAGCCCTTCGACATTGTCTCGAACTTCAAGACTTGGAGTTAAGTAGTCTTCTTCTAAGAAGAACATGTAGAGAAACGGCAAAATATACAGAGTAATCACCAGCGCTGCAGCGATAACACTGGTTTCAGCAATGGGGAGCTTTAAGCGCAGCGCATCAGGACACTCAAACAATCTTGCTCAAGCACACGCGCTACAGCCGTACAGGAAAAGACACTGCCAGGGGCGCAAGTAAGGAACTTTGCGAAAAAATAATCGGCATCTCAAACTGGCACAACGTTGGTGCTTAAATGTTGGGCCAGGATGAGATGCGGACATGTCCTTTAACGCACGTAAATTTTGGCACACCCAAAGCGCGTCTCATCTTGCAGCGTCAAACCTATGGTCACTCAATAACCTGACAAATTTAGTATAGTCATTTGGGCTGCAGAAATGATTGTTTAGATCTATGTTCCATATTTTCGAGCCCGGTGAATAGACTGCGTGTTGGTCGAGTCAAGGCTTCATGCCTGTGTGGAGTCCTAACGCAAGCTACGGTGAACTTTTGATTGTAAATCCAATATGAATCCAACAATTGGCACACACAAGTAAGCCCTCGTTGCAGGCTTGGTATTTACGCGGTAAAATCTGAACGTATTGATATTTTTACGCGTAAAAACGCATAAAAATGCGTAAATGCAACGCAAATACAGCCCCGTGTACATAAGGACAGTACGTACAGACTGGAGGAGTCCGACGAGTGGCAGTCAGGGCCGCTGCGATGGGTAGAGAACGAACTTTTGTTCCATGCAGTCGTTGCCCTTGCCTAGGACGAGGCGAGCACTGTTTTGCGTGTCCTGGAGAGGGCAGAGAGCTGATCATTGAACGCAAGTTTCATTGTGTAACCTGGCTGTCCCAACGAGCCGCAGAAACGTGAAAACAGCCATGAAAGTTGGCCCTTTGCAACTTAGTTTTTAACGCGTGAAAACGTGAACGTGAAAACGTGAACGTGAAAACGTGAACGTGAAAACGTAAATGCAAGCGTAAAATCCAAGCTTGCCTCGTTGTGTCCAGCATGCCTGGCGATTTTCATTAAATTGAGCAATTGCTTCTCTGCGTCAGCAGCTAGACGTATACTGAGCTTTCTTGATCATCGTGGAGCTCAAGAACATCAAGAACCCTTTTCCCAATGCGGTCCAATAACTGCGTCCGTTCACAGGAAATGCGATGTTGAGTTTTTTTGCCCATTGCGTTCTCCAACACCACCTCTTGCTGGATTCATCTAACCAAGATCTAATTGATTGGCACAATGAACTTTGATCAAAATAAAATGAAAAGAGAGAAAGAATCCACTGGCAGGTGCCAATTTTATGGTTATATCACAACACCAATTGGTTAAGCAAACTTGCTGCATGCTCGCAGCTACTTTCGCACAACAGATATATCCATGTCGCTCTCAGCGCATATTCATTCTAACTCTGCCTTAGTCTAATTGACAGACAGCGCGAGAATACCGTGGTCCTTTGTCGCGGTCCTTTGTTGATCGGGATCCCGATCGGTTGCTATCCCTTTGCGATAG